CAGCTAAGCTGTGCACTATTTTAGAGTTTGCTATTTAAATTCTCTCAAGTAAGTTGAATAGTTTAACTGCACTTGTTGTAACTGCTGGAACAGTTAGCAACCAACATTTCACACAAAGTTGAAAATCAAATATTTTACTTTCCATAAAAAGTTAGTTCAGTTGATGATCAAGTAAATCCAGATAAAATACATGTTAAAGCAACATAACTGAGATGTATCTATTTTTCTTTTTCTACAACATTTGGAAAAATATTTTAAAGCAGAAAAGTCTCTGACTCAACTCAAACTTTATCCCAGAATCTTTATTTTTGTATCCCCACATAAAATGTTAAATGTAGCCTTAGCTGTAAATCTTTATGACAGATTATAAACACTGATTAAAGAAGCATTCAGATATTTTACTTAAGTATATTCAGCAATACTACAATATAATATGCTTTTAGAAGTAACAAATCTGCATTCTTACTTTACATACAGAAGTAAAAGTGCATAAGTATTAACAGCAAAATTAACTATTTAATCAATTAAATCAAAAGTAAAATTACTAACACCCCTTTCAGTGTTCACTACATTATTCTATGCATTTTACTGATGAGTCTCATTATAAATCAGCTACTGTGTGAATGGTGTTTTCATGCTGTAGTTGATGGAGGCGGTTTAAATTTGTTGGTAGTTTAATCTTATATAAACTGATCGTTTTGTATGTAAAACCTGAGTCACTGTCACAGTTGAGTGAATAGTTTCATCTGAAATGTAATTATTAAAGTAACATACAAGGGAAATACTCAAATAAAGAACTAGTGCCGTAAAAAGTACAGTGCTAGAGTGAGTGTACTTAGTTACATTTCACAAGTGATAATAAAAATCAAACTTAATTTTGAAATAAATTTCAAATACACAGGATACATTGTGACTGCTGCTCTGCTCTTTTGTGCAGAATACACTATAGAATATTTCCTGCTCTTAATGGTGCCATTTTGAATGCTTGCCTGTTTGAAGTACAGATGTATACTGAGGAAGTGAACTGAAACGAAAGTAAACATTTATGCCACATGCCTGTAAAATCCTCCTGTAAATGTGGCGGAGTGTCTGCCAGACAAGTAGTCAGTCTGCAGTTCAGCGAAGGAAGCGGGAGGTGTAGTGAAAGGGAAGCAGGTAGAGAAGCAGGTAGAGAAACAGGTGAAACAGTGAAGCCCCACAAAAGGGGCTTTTGTGTCTCTGTCATGCTTTCAGTCTCCGCACAGTCATAAGGTCAGAATGTGATTTGATGAGTCATCGCTCACTTTGACCCTTCACCATAATGTAATTTTACTGTTTGTGGCAGATTGAGTGATTCATGATGAGTCATTGTGTGTTGTACATGTCTGTTCAGGTCCAGAATACCCAGGGATTCCCACGACACATACACTCACACCCAAACGTGCACAGATACTGCACATGCAGGTATGCATACAGTCAGTTATATAACAAAAGCTATTCTTCTACAGCATATTCAATGGGAATGCTGTAGCTCACATTGTGAAGCTAAAGCTTTTGTTTTAAAAATTTGGGTCCAACATTTCAATTTCAGTTTCCACTATACATATAGAAAACACATTTGTTCTTATATTGACCTTTTGTCTGTGTGGTTGCTATTATACAAAATAATTGAACCACCAGGCAACTTCAAAAGAACTCACTGCGTGATTTGAATTTCAATTTTGTTTTCAACTGATAATACTGTATCTCACTTTTTATTGCATACACCAAGTGAAACTATTTCAGCCTCGACTCACACACACACTTCACAGTATAGTGAGCTGGATGAACTGACACTGTAGTGCAAAACTGGATGCCAGGAACTGTTAGTGTTTGTCCATTTTGCCAATGTTATTTCACCGCTTACACTCCTCTTTTCATGTTTTCACTTGTGCGATCAGTATTTTAGTTTTACTCTTACTGCGAGAAACACTGAGGTGACACATTAAGATGCCAAGAAAAATATTTGGCTTTAATTCTGCTCTTTTCCTGCTTTGTACCTTATTACAGTAAAAGCTAAAACAAAAAGATTTAAAAATCCAATATGGAGAACATTCTTTATCAAAATAAAACACACACATGCATGATTACACATACAGCACATACTGTACAATAAAATCAAATGTATCAAATATACGGATAGAAAAGTTTTATAGCCAGTTTAAAGTATTTTTTTCACAAGGGCACAGGGAAATATACTGCAGCTCGTTAAACAGTGACAATGTGTTAAATTAATTGACACTTAGATAAATATTTCTTCTCCAAATCCCAGAACGATCATAAAGATAAGGTTTATCACAGATTATGCAATCTCAGTTTCCTTTCCCAGGTTTTCCAGTCAGAGCGCACTCCAGTCATAAATAGGCAATCAGCAAAGTGTTGATGACTCGGGTTTCATTTTTGAAAAGTCCAGAAAAGTTAGCAGGGAGACACCCCAGAAAAACACTGATTACACAGAAAAAAGTCCAGGATCGTTTCTGATTTTTGAAAGTATAATTACTTCCTTCCACATCTAAGGCTGCCAGTACAATATTTAGCTATATGTTCCATGTATTAGAATTTTGTTCCTGTACTGTTTTAAGCATCTGTTGTTTCAGACTTTCGTGTCAGTTACCGTAATGATGCCAAGTCGCACTGGTTTCATCTGACTGGTTTCCGGGTCAAAATGATTCAGATCTGCTAACTCCAATCATATCGGCACATCTGCATTTAAACAGAAAAACGTGCCTCGTGCTTCCTGGCAGTGTCCAACACTGTTAGTCCACTTAGATGGCGGATTGCCTCGATTGACCTTTATTAAACAATCTTCACCTCTTTTGTCCTCTGTCTAGATAAGCAGACATGACACAAAAGAAACTCTTAAGTAATATGAAATCAATATTAATTCACAAATGGAATTTGAATGATGTACAGTGCTGTAGAGATTTGCTAAACTTTCGTAATATACCTGAGATACTAAATTCCCTCAGCCTAAATACATAAAGCTTGGAGCAAATTTGTGTAACTGCTTTGTTTTCCCTTCGTCTCCAGGTCTTCCAGCCTGCTTTGTGCATTCCTTTCCTCCATTCATCTGCCTTATTATGGTTCAAACAGAGGTCTTGTTTTCACTGCGCCTTCAAAGCTGATTGTGATCAGCAGGCCAGATACATAATATGAATTTAGAATGAACTGTGGGTGTGAATGTGGCCTGTGTGGTTTGTTCTCCACAATCTTTCCATTCTTGCTTCAGGAACTGATATACAGTACTGACGCAGAATGCAGTGTTAAACTGGGACATGCAATTGTTGCACAGTGACTTATTCTTAGTTAAAAATTATTCAACAAGATAAATGCCTAAATGTAGTTAATGCTGCTTGAGATCCTGCACAGAAACTGTTTTCCAGTTGAAACACTCTTCATTTGCATGAATCCTAGTTACTTTCTCACGTGACTTGTAAAAATGTGCTGAGAGCAAAGCCTGAGCTTCCCAGTCTAACTGGTCACACGGTGTGAACAATGGGAGGTAAAACAAGCCTGGAGTTTCCCTCAGGCCTCCAGAACATCACGTTCAACTCGATGTTTGTTTTTAAAGGGATAGGTCACACAGCCTCACAAAGTCTCGCGGCCTTATCGAGGACTTGGAGTCCTTCCATTTTATCTGCAGAGGAATTGAATGAGTAATTTGATACTGGGTTATTAAAGGCACTGCGGCAGATTCAGGGGGAGTTTAATCCTCTACTCAATATAAAATCTGTGGTGGCGTCATTCACTATGTTCAGAAATAGTTGGCAGGATGTTACGTACAGTTAGAGTGTTAGAAAATGATAATGTTTTTACATAATATCAATTAGTCTATGCATGCACTGAACTGGAAAAAGACATAAGGCACAAATTACTTATTATAGTGTATTGCTTATCATAGCTCCTCTGACATATCTTTAGCAACAAACACATAGTCTTGACCATGTGGTCAACATCCACGCGTCTCAGGGGAAACTCCAGTGCAGGCCTGCTGGTGTGCTCTTGTGTTCATCATATCATTTTCATGCTGTGATAAACAACTGCAGTCACACTGCAATCATACTTGAAATTTTGGAGGAAACTCCTGTGTACACTGCACACTGCACACTGCAGTCCCCCACCTGCAGGTCCTCCCACACACTCATACTCTGAGGGGCTGCTGAGCGACATTTCCTTTCGTTTAAGTGATTCAGCAGGGGCATGCTAAAGACGGTGCATCTTAAGGACTTTCCATGCAACTGTCCTTGACTAACAGAAAGTCTTCAATGTGATAAAACATGTGCAGCCATACAAGGGTGTAGGTTTGGTTTCAACACCGGGGGAGACACATGTGAAATGGGGGGTTTGGGGAGGTGCTCCACCACAAATCTTTAAGCATCAAATACTTTCTATTGAATTTTTATGCAGCAGTCTGTGCCTTTTCTGCATCAGTTTATGTTGTAAATGCCCATGTTCTACACATTGAGGGGGATGTGTCTACACCTACCTAACCTTATGATACATAGAGGCCTTTGCTTCAAGTTACTATGACCTTGGCTTCCCTTCTGTTAGAGTAAACATTAGATTTCTTGAAGCAGAGATGTGGTTTTAAGGCTGTTTTTGTCCAAATACTTTTGGCCAGGTTGATTTAAAAGTGCATAATTTTTATGAAATATTATACTTTGCATAATAACTGAGAAGAGTGTTTTCAAAGTAACTGCTGATTTCAAGTTTGAGGCGTGGACAGAAAGAAAATGCATATTTGTTGGGTACATGTGTCATTAAAAGAGTCCAAATACTTAAATACTGCAGAAATGTATATTTTAAGTGCAGCAAATGTAGTGTGCAAAATGACTTTGCTCTCTTGGTGACAAACTGAGGAGTGTATTTATATGCGTCTGAATAGAAATCCCCTTGGAGCCAGCAATCTGTATGCTGTGTTATTCTGAGTGACAGTTTTCTGGAAATCCCCCACCTAGTTGTTAGCTCCGCCCCGCCGCAGCCACACAGAGGGCATTAACAGACTGCTGCACAAGTCTGCCAGTAGACAACCAAGTGCACCTCGTACTGAATAACAAACCATTATGGACCTCCACCGGACCAGTATATTGAACCAAATGGATTACAACCGGGAGTCTAAAGAAGGGAAGCCGGCTCAGTCGACAGAGGAGCGGCTCGACAGCGGTTTGGATTCGCTGAAGGAGGAGGAGTACCAGGCTGTGGCGGCCGAGATCCGTCGGCTCCAGGTGGAATGTGAGCCGCCGCAGCACAAACAAGCTCCCGCTGTAACCGGAGAGCTGCACGAATGGAAAACACAGATCACAGAAGATGGAGACACGTAAGTCGGACCAGGAATAACATTACAGACTTAAACACGGGGATATTTGTGCTTTTTTTTTCTGAGGTAACGTTATAGCCAGACTTGCAGTATCGCCTGAGCAGGCCCAGCTCGGGTCCTGGAGGTAATTTGATCCCTTTCCTGTGGGGAATGTCTGCCTCTAGCTTGTCATTACAATGCACAGGCCCGGGCCTAACTCCGTCAGGGTTGGGGCTTATTTTAGCGTTACGACGTCTGAAAGTACGCGACTGCAATGTTAACAATACACAGAACGGGTGTCCGGTTTGATAATGGGTTTAGCTGCGGTCAGACACGGTGGTCTTGGACGTAAACAAAAGGCTATTATCAGGAGGGAATCTACTATGGCCGCGGGTCAGACTGGGAAAGTCCCGGGCGCGCGGCCAAGGAATCCGACCGCCGCGCGCTCCCGTGAAGCGAGAAGGAGGAAAAAACAAGAAAAAGTACCTTAAATTACACAAATGCACATTTGACGGGGCTGAGGGCGAAGCTGGCCCCTGGAGGACGTGTCTGCGGCTTGATGCTATCTTAAAACCAGGGGGAATAACATTAAGTGTCACCCCAAATGTTATTCTTTTAATTAAAATAAGTTATCCCCCAAGAAATAATAATTTAAACTCAGAACAGTAATGTGGCTGTTCTCATGGCACGTGCATGTATGCTGCGCCATTGCGTCAAAGTTTACAGCAACGTGACTTTATTCATCAGAAGTGAGCAGCGGAACTGTCTCATATGAGGCAATGAAGCATGAAATCATGTTACAGTGATTGAACCAATGGTTTAAACAAGGGATATAAGAGCAGTCTCAGTGTGGGGCCTGGGAACGCCTGGGGGCCTCAACAGCATCTAAATGAGCTAATTTGTTTCATTTGTTGACATTATTTTACTGTAATGGCAGTCTGAAGACATTATCCCTATTACAGCCAGTGTAAAATTGGCTGCTATGTTACACTTGAATGTTTGGAGGCCTGTGTTGTGTAAAGTTTTTCTTTGACTGATGATTTCTGATGGAAATAAAGTTGATTTTCATTTGAAGCATCTTCTTTTATATATCATTATTGTGTTTTCTCCTGTCGAGGATGCTGGCTTAAGTAAAACTACTCCATTTGTCCGCTTTTCTAGTATCTACTCTGCATTTAAAACTTGCTTTAAACTAGCTTTTCACTGTTAAAGTACCAGTATTAGATGTAGATGGAAAAACCACAATCAGAGATATATGTATTTTAATTTACTTGCTTACAGTATGTTAAAATAGACTTGGTTGTGTTATTTGCATGTATCATAACAGGTTTTCTACCTTCCCTCCCTGTCTCTATAGGCTGCTCCACCTGGCCATCATCCACGAAGCCAAGGACTACATCCGATCGATGATAGACCTGTCCAAGAACTCAGACTTCCTCAACACACAAAATGACCAGAGACAGGTACTGAAAAGGATTTATAAAAGAATATATTGACAGCTCCCCGGTCTCATTTTTATCATCTTCCCCTCTCCTCTATGTTTGTCTCCACCTCTTCCTGTGAACTTGCTCTATCTAGATGAGTTTTTATAGTAACTCACCTGTCTTCTCCTAACTTCTTCCTCTCCCAGACTCCTCTCCACCTAGCGGTAATAACGAACCAGGCCGACGTGTGCGAGCGCCTCCTGGTAAACGGCTGTGACCCCACGCTGGTGGACGACAACGGGGACACGCCTCTTCACATCGCCTGTCGCCATGGAAACCTGCTGTGCTTCAGCGTCCTCACACAGAACTGTCAGCCAGAGCATCTACACACAGTGATGGCTGCCTGCAACTACCATGGTAAGAGTGTAGCACGAGAACAGTGTTTCTTTTTTTCCTGAACTGATGTGGTTTTGATCTTTTCCTGTTTGGACGAGCTGAGCTTTTACTTTTTATAACACATCTGATAAATGCTTCAGTTTTCATCTTCAAAACTATACTTGTTTACATGTGAGGGAACAAGAATGTTTGTATTCAGCAGTGGTGGACTAAATTATTATGTTTGAACATTATTAGAGTATTATGTTCTGTAGCAGTGGTGGTAATTTCCATTCTGTGGCGGCCCACCCTTGGTGCCTGGAGACAGACGAGACACTGACCAGTCTGCTGCTGGTCTTAAGTACTGTTTAAACAGAGGAATGGTGGGCACGAAAAGAGTCATTTCTACTGCCCATTATCCCTGAACACTGTGGTTAGGAGGAAGGAAACATTTAAGCAAGCGAGGGGAATGCCATAGCCATTCATGCCATCACGTCCTGACAAAAACCCATCTATTACATGGCACATAATGTTAGGTGCTAAGGCTCCAAATAGATTTAGACTTGTGCAGACATTTTAAGCCTGAAGTATGGCATGGTTTACTGGTTTTCAGATTTCTTTGGGGACTAAATTTTTTTAAATATAGTTTTTTTTTTAATTCAAATTAGCATGGCTACATCCAGGCAAATACTGTTGTTGGCTCCTAAATTTTAAATAATTTGGAGCTTTAAAGTGACATATGCTGGTCTGGTGTCATTTGTTAAAGTCTGATGTTTTCTTGCAGGTCAGAACTGCCTTCACTTGGCCTCAGTTCAGGGTTTCCTGTCATTGGTTGAGAACATGGTGGATCTAGGAGCTGACATCAATGCAAAGGTAAACAGCACACATCATAGCTGTACATGAGAATACACACTTTATACACAGTATAGAATTAATCATTCATTTTAAGACATTTTGAGGACCCACCAGTTGCTAATAAAATCTTGTGGTTCTCTGCCTGCCCTATAGGAGCAGCGTAACGGTCGCAGTGCACTGCACCTGGCCGTGGACCAGCAGAATCTCTCACTGGTCAAACTGCTGCTGAAGAAAGGAGCAGACCCCAACCTCCTGACCTCTGGAGGCCACACTCCCTTCCACCTCACCTACGGTCGCACCAATGACGATATCAGGAAAGAACTGTTCTCACTGACCAGTCCTGACCTGAGGGAGCTGCCTGACAGTGAATCAGACGACAGTGAGGAAGAGGAGGACGAGGAGTCTGATGAGGAGGTGAGTGTGTTGAAAGTGTAGAACTTCCACTGTAACGTCGTTTCCTTTCTGGCTGGTGTATAACCGTCTTCTGTCCTCTTTGTGTTTGTAGGTGGGTTATGATGACATTCAGTGGAATGGACATTAGCAGGAAACAAGAGAGGGAGAGAGAGGAAGTTACAGAGGCAGGAGGCTGTGATGATGACGGTGAAGGACAAAAGAAACGGCTCGGCACGTCTACTACTTCCTGCTATGACGTCACATGAGCCCAACAGTGTGGGTGACACGGCGCGGGCGTGGCCGTTGACGAGACAGATGGACAGGCAGCTGCAAAGGAGAATCAGAGACTGATGGTGGAATATAACAATGAGTCCGCTCCAGGCTGTGGGAGAGCGGTCACGCTGAGATGTGAATACATGACACATTATGATGGGATGATTTTGCTGTATAAAGAGAGGATTGCTTGTATTCTGTAGACACTGCAAATCATTTGTCACCCAAAAAAAAACATCCATCCACACTGATGTACCAGCAAACAGCTCTGTTGTATGATATTGTAAATGCTGTGTATACAAAGATGTATTTTTTATGGAAGCTGTGAATGCGTACAGTTGAGCAGGTTGTATATGTCAGACAGCAAACAGTCCAGCACACTCCAGTTAAATTAAAGACACTCATATTTAACAGTAAAAAGCTGTGTGAGTATATTTGTGGGGACTGGGATGGGTGACATGAAGGGGCAACAGATGGCGTGTGATTGGAAAATTGCACTCGGTCCTGAATGGAGGTACTATGTTTGGAGAAAAAAATGCTTTCACACATGTACATTAGACGTAATTTTGGTAATATCACAAAAAACAAAGATGACACAGAGCCCAGCATATAATCAACAGCACCTGACAACATTACAAGGCTGCAATTATAGGAGAAATTGCTGCAACCACGTGTCCTCTGCTGCCGTCAGTATGTCTGTGCTTGTCTAACTGCCTCCATCAAAGCACGACAGCTGAATTTCAGTTCTGACTGGTCACTTTTTATTTTCATATAATGCATGTCAAGGAGGAAAGGCCTGATAACAACTCGTTTCCACTAAATGAGGAACTAACAGTCAATTGAGCTTGCAACAGTTCCTCCTGCTGCGTTTGTGTGTGTGTGTGTAGACGCAGTATGTGTGGAATGAGGCTGATTGCCTGGTTATCTAAATCAGGAAGTTTTTGGGGAGGGTGAGGCCAAGTAGGAAGGGACAGGAAATTCCCAGGAACAGAACACTCAGCTGTTTGCGACGTTGCTGCTTCTCATTCCTCCAAAGAAGGGAATCTCCGCAGAACAACAGGATGCTTCAGTCAAGCACGGGGCGGCAGGGAGGAAGGGAGTTTTCCTTATTTCCAGTAAATAAATATAAAGCGTGGCTGTAAAATACTTGTGTAATTCTGTGATTGTACTGCAGATCAGATCAACGTCATTAAGCTTAGTATGCTGGCTTTGCGCACTGGGAATTTAAGCATACAATAGAGATGTAACTTTACAGTAGATGTAAATACAATGGATTGTACAGCTAAATACATATTTGAAATAACTGCGAGCCCATATTTATTTTTGTCTAAATTCTTGTGTAGACAACACAAATACATTTTCCCAATTTAACAGATATTTATAGCTGTAGACCAGTGATTCTCTACTTAAGGCCCTGTCGGCTGGCCCCTTGAACATTTTCTAATTCAAAATGAAAATAAACTAACACTGGTCGTTTATTTGTACTTAGAAAAAAACGTGCCAGGGGCGATGTCTGGACTAAGCCCTGGATGTCCTCAAATCCCAGAAACCCCCTGCATACAGTAAACATCAAAAAGTTGAAAACAGGCAATTCATCTGTTACATATGCTGATAAATATGATAAAAGTCTGTGTATTAACTGGCCCTTGGCTTCCTATCATTTTGCAAAAGTGGTCCCCTGGCAAAGCTAAGTATCCCTCTGTACACTGTTCATGACTATTGAAGTAAAGCATGTTAAAGGAGCTGCATATGTGAACTCTCTGGGGGTTTCCAACATATGTTGTACATCATAAGTCCTCTTACATCCAAATATGACACCAGCAGTACAACTATTACTATCTCAGCTCATATAAATGTACTCATAAACTTTGTATAAATAGCACCTTTCAAGAGCAGAAGTGCTTCAAAAATTACAAAATGTAAATAAAAATGTATTTATATTGACATTCCCTATGAAATACATAACAGTAAGCTGTATTATGCAAACATCTTATGGAAACAGGCACCTTATTACACATTTTTATGTGATGGTTACATGTCTGATTGATTATGGAGAACAAAGATGACTTAAGTATTATTAAATAAATAGCATTAATAAATACAGAGTCTGTATTTATTAATGCTATTTATTTAATACTGTATTTATTTTCGTATTTACTTATGTCAATACAGACATAAGTAAATACGAAAATAAATTAAAGAACACATAAATGCTGAACTAAATACAGGAATAATGACATATATGCATAGGTTTGGACTTCCTACATCAACATACAGACAGAAATATAGATATACAAAAATGAAGAAATAAATTAGATATTTACTTATTTATGTCCTGTGTATCAGTTTATTTCCATATTTACTGCATTTATTTTTTATTTCTGTATTTTTATTTATTCCTGTTCTTACATATGCAACTATTTATTTGTGTTTTCTAAATTAATTTATTCTGTTTTTATTTATACATTTATTTTTGTACTGATTTATTCCTGTATTTATAATCCTTTATTTATTTACATAATGATTCATTTATTTATTGATGCTTGTCAGTTTTCATCCTCCATATATCATCACCTGCTTAAACTTGACATACAACTCGTGGAGGCAATATGCACATGCAAAGACAAGGAAACAGGGAAACGTAAGTGTTCGATAAAAAGTGTTGTGTTTAATAGAAGTGCAGTACTGTACAGCAATGTCAGCAGAGGGGATGAAGATCAAGACAGAAGGGCGAGAATGAAATAATCAGTGACTTCCCGTTGACGTTGACCTGAGCAGACCTTAACAGGGGTGAGACAATGATGACTGTCGTAATGGGAGAATTCCCACAGCTGTTCCCTGGGTTATCACAAAGTACATCAGAGCAAAAACATCACTGTGGAACTAGAGACAGCGGAGAGGGGAGACTTTAAAGCAGATTTAAAAAATAAGAGATACACGTCGTGGCAGCCCTGAGTAAAGATTGGTGACTCCAGAAGCTACAGGACCACCAGGTAGAGGTATTAAGAGGTATTGTGCTGTAGTCCGTAGTGTTACCACACCCCTGTCTTCCAATCTACTCACGTCACACTCATCAACTGAAGTCATTTAGGGCTAAGCTCCACTGAGAGAGAAGAGCATATCAGACTGATGTGTCATGGTGGACTGATTTGAATGTCCAGCATCTTTCCAGGCTGTGTGACATTTGGCAGCTGCCTGCAGTGAGGATGTCTCAGTGTGGCTAGAGGGAAAATGCAGGAGGGGTCGACATGTGGATAACATTGTGTCCAGTCATGACCAGAAGGGATGGAGGAGGGGCAAATGCCAGTGTAGATGGGTAACTACCCACCTGGTAAGAAGGGCCATATTGTTCTTTACTGTTCATCTTTGTGTTCATCTCTACCTCGCTGTGTAGTGCCACCTCCTCTGAACAAGATGATACCAACTCCTCCTTTATCTTCTCTCTAGGCGAGACCTTTGTGTGGAGGAGTCGGGGTTTTCTGGTGTTACGGTTCATCCTTTTCAGAATCGGCAGCAAAATGGTTGCCAACTTTCCTCACTCTCTCTCAGACAAAGCCACCAGGTGGACATCAATCTCAGACTCTGACAGAATCCTGGAACACAAACACAAGTAAACGGTTGTCATTTTTGTTCTGCCAGGCTTTGTAAGCCCTGCGCGCGCGCACACACACACACACACACACACACACACACACACACACACGTCGAGAACACACTGAACCTTGTAAGCCCTTACTTTGATCTTATCCCTGGTTTTAGTTTTCGGGAATTTCCATTACGACACCCGTCTGTTTTTATCTATTCTTAAAAATAACTCTGATTCATTATCGACAAAGCCAGCACATTACCATGTTTTAGTAATTTAGCGTTTTTTGTGTCAGCACAAAGATGCATGACTGAAATGCAGGAGCAATGGTGTCTGTTAAGTGCGGCACGTTTAGCTGAACAGCAAATACTAATTTTCTTTTTTTTTTGTTGTTGGTAAAATGTTTCCAAGGCGTTTGACTAAATCTGTTTGCCTTTTCCAGCAATGCCCTGCTTCACTTTTATTCCCGAAAACCCATTCACAGCAGCAGCTGGGCAGTGAAAAAAGTTCTTAATTATCTGTGGCTAGTATAATAATTCCTACTCATGGATCTCTTTGTGTCAGGAAATACTCACTTGAATTTAGGTTCTTTTGTAGTAATAACTCCCACCTCCAGCTCTGAGGGCTTGAAGTCGATGGACAGAACGGTTGACAGACACGAGATAGCCGTCTGGTTTAAGTAGAGAGGGAGTTGTTGAGCAGCATGAAAGGAAGGAGAGGAGAGGTAAGGAAATCAAACATTGCATCTAAGAAATAGATGCCTTTGGAAACAGGACCTCACAGAGTCAAATAATCTAGAATCATATATATATATATATTTATATTCGGTAATTGATTAACTGGTCTAAGTAATTTTTTATGTAAAAAAGTCAAAGTTCTCTGATTCCAGCTTCTTAAGTGCTTAAGTTTCTGGTTTATTTACTCCTCTATGACAGGAAACTGATTTGGTTTGGGTTGTGGACAAAACAAAACATTTGAGGACAACATTTTGGGGTTTGAGGAAACACTGATTGGCATGTTTCACCATTTTCTGACATCTTACAAACCAAAAGACTAAAGAGGAACAGCTGTGTTTTAACATCTTTTGACATTTTAACAGAAGTATTTTCTAAAAAACAATAAATATAACCATGGCACATATGCTTGTCCGCACGCTCTCCTTGACCACCAACAAACACTGACTGAGGCAAGGTCATTGCAAAATGTGGATGTGACATTACATGTCAATCTATGTGACATACTCCACTTTGGTTGCTTTGGCTACTAAGCAAGGGGAGTGCATTAATATCTGGACAATGTAAACTGATATTTTGAAACAGAATATCTAAAAATTAAACTATCAGTTCTAATGACAACAATATCAGGATTCATGTTGTGCCTGATTTGTATAAGTCCATCCATAGCTCACATATTGAATCATTGACAGCAGAAACCCCTTCAGTAAAACATTCTAGTATAGTGACACAGTTGTGAAAGTCCCTGACATTTTCTGACACCCAAAGAACTCCCTGGCTCTCCTTGGCTGAGAAATTCCAAAACAGTTCCATGACATTCCAGAAACCTGAATATACCAGGGTCCAATAATAAGCACGGAAAAAGTAAACAGTGTGTGTGTGTGTGCATGTATATACAGTGTGTGTGTGTGTGCATTACCTCTATGGTCTGCTCAAAGGTCCAATCCAGTTTCTTCTTGACTTTCTTCTCCAGGAAGCTTGTGGCCTCAGTCTGTTTGACTCCGGCTGCTGTGGCCTTAAAGCCACAGTAATAGCCAGCTGGGTCACATTTATACAGCTGCGGACCCAACTCTTCATCCATTCCAATCACAATCATACCTAGAGGAAGGAGGCAAGGCAGAGGGAAATTATGACATGGCAGAAGACACAATGCCATCTATTTCAAGATCTGATTTATTATACATTGATTTAAAAATTATACTTTACTTTTGTCAAGAAATTTGGAGTCATTGTTAGATTTAAAGTGGCTTTTAATTGCCTTGTGCAAGAACTTGAGGACTAGACCATTATCAGTTTTCAAAGGTGTAAACTGGAGCTGCAAAAAGGGGCATTTTTAGGATTTCACCTTAGGGTGGCCTTAGCCTCCCAAACAAGCTAACACAAAGCTAAAAAAAAACTGTTAATGCTGGAAATGGACAGAAAGACTGCACTTTACTAGGGGACTCTAACAGTTGGAGAAGCAAGTCTTGAGGGAGGAACAGTTAACAGTATTGTTTATTTATGTGCAACTAATAGGTATAGCCACACATTGGGATGCAGTAATCAGGTCATATCTCTGTGCACAATAAAGTATAGTCCCTTGAAACATCAACATCCGAACATCCTTTAGTCTGCTATGCCCTGCTGAGGGTGTATCTAACAAAACTAATATTCAATGAGAAACAATCAACAAAATTAGACATACCATGAGTATCTCTTCATGACAATTTACTTTGTTAACCCCTATTATAGCCTAAATCTACCCATGACTGCAAATATTTTGAGCTGATTTTCAATATAAAGCTGTGATGAAAACCCTCTGAAACAGCTTTCAATGTAGATGAAATACATCACACAATAATGCTAAAATCAAAACATTCACCTGCTCTGGTCTGGAGAAACATGCAGTGTATTATTTTGGAAGTGGATGACAATAAGTGCTTTCAATTATTTCTAGCAGGTCAAGTTTGGTTAAAACTCTATAGAACATAAACAATCATTAAGGATGTGTTTTTTGTACACAAAAACACATGTGCACACTACTCACAGCAGCCAAGTGGCCTCATCTCAGCATTCTGTGTGTAGACTTGGGAGATGTCTGCAATACGTTTGCACAACATGTCCACAGGGATCTCATAACCATACTTATACATCCAGTTGGCTGCTTCATACCGTGCTCTCTGCACCTGAGACCTGCTATCAGCTGGAGGGAGAGAGGAAGAGGTAGAAAAAGCATTTCACACAGATGAATCTGAGTCTGGACAAATACATGAATGAACTAACATAATAACTTCTTTCATTATAGTGAAAGAAAATGATAAGCTTCAGGTAGACTCTGGGCTGCTCTAGCCAGCTTTGGAATACTGAAAATGTATATGAGATGCAGCTTATCATTTTGGTTTTCTGTTTTGCTAGCAACAATGGATTTGCGTCATGTCTTATAGCTTTTTAAAAACTGGGTAGGTGGTCTTTCTGACTAGTTCAATGGTGTTCATTATGTCTTTAGTTTCTGATAATGACTTTAGTTGTTCTTTTATCTCAGACATGTTAGGATGTTACATACCTTGACATGTTTCGGCGGAAACTTCCGCTTTCCTCAGAAGTGTCCCTGTCAGAAGTGTTCCACTTCTGAGGAAGGCGGAAGTTTCCGCTGAAACATGTCAACGTATGTAACATCCTAACATGTCTGAGATAAAAGAACAACTAAAGTCATGGTCTTTCTGACTATTATTATGTAATGTTCTGCTGCAACTAGAGCTAGCATTTGACAGATATTGCACTGTCTTGTTTTTTCTCCCGCTCTGCAGTAACAGCCAGTAATTTTGACAATTATTTTTACAAAAACATTTCAAATTTCTGGGTATTCACTACATGGGCAAGATGTTGCTTACCAGTCATGCCGGTCATAACACAGCCAATGTTCTCTGTAATTCTGTACAGATGTGTGACTGTCGCGGCATCCAACAGCTTGTCCTGAGTAAAACACAAGACGAGGACATTACCAACAGAGAGATATACACCACATACTCCTCCAGCAATGCAACAACCATAATGACAGCTGTGGAATCTGACCACATGCTTTGTAAAGACACAGAAACACAAACTGCTGTGTGTGTTTATAATGTGTCAGTGTATACTGACCGGGACTTTCTTTTGTGTGACGACCACAACACAGTCCTTCCCTCTGACCGCTACAGAGGTCAGCCCTCCCTGGTTGATGGCTTTGAAGGCATACTCTGACGGCAGACACAAGGGAACATGTTCATGAGCTACAAGTGTTCAGACTTTTCACCACTGTTGGCAAACTTTAAAAAAATAAAAATAAGGAACCAACCGAATAAGTTGTATTACTTTTTTACTCTATACTCTATATATTCTTTTACTCTATTTAAATATGACACAATCTGTATTTTTGAAACATTTTAGTATTTTAGTGTCACCGTTTTTTGTTTTAAGGTTTGAAACTGGTCTGCAGCTAACATTTAATACATAATAACAATATGGCTCGTTAAAGAAAATGGCTGATAAAAAAAAAAGTGAGAATAAGGGTGAGCAGTGTGCTACAGCTAAATACCAAATTTATTTAACCCCTAATAAAGATATGTATCACAACATTGCCTTATGATAGCATTGCACAGCTAAATTAAGCTAGCTACGAAGCTAGCACAAATATAACAAAACGAACCGTCTCGTCAATTTATTACTGTACGCCTATAAAAATTATATACCAAACATTAATTGCAGTCATTATGACTCTACCCTGCTGCACCAAAACAATGTCTTTTCTAAATGCCACTGAACTATGAATGGGCTAGATAGAAGCTACTAGCTAATGTTAGCCTGTTAGCTAGTAGTGATGACAGAGCAGGTTGAGTGTTGTTCATTTCTTTCACGACTTACCGACTTGGTAGAGTCTTCCCTCCGGAGAGAAGATGGTGATATGACGGTCAAACCCTGCACTTGACCCCCGAGACATGACGGCTGGAAATAACCAATATAAACAGTTTTAGACTGAAATTGAAACTAAACTGAGAGACAACAGAGCCAAAACATGGCAAACATCTACACCGGATGTGATCTGTCCGATTGGAGGCTTCAATATCCGGGTCAGCTTTGTAGTTCACATGTGTCACACTGCAACCCTGCTGCTGCTTTGCGATGCTGCTTATGATTATTACTAAATCTGATAGTCAGATGTCGTTTTCCCATGGCTCAAAGTTAAAGGGGAATTTTTCAACTCCCATTTTCAAGTTTATACATGTACTGTGTGTTGCAGTACCCATACAACCATACTATATAATATGCCAATAAAATATTTAGTATGTCCCAATACATAGTATGTCAAATGCACGATTTTGTAGTATGCAAGCCAGCATGCTTTTCTGGCTATTCTGACCCACAATCCTCTGCAGCTTAAGATACCTCACATCAACTGTCAGAGGTCACAATGATGGATGACAGCCCATTCAGGTGACTGATGACCAGTTGATAAGTAATAATAGGATATTAATTGTTTAACTGAATAATATAATCACAAATATACCAACAACAAAAGGGCACAAGTATTAAATAAAAGTGACAGAGAAATGCAGAGCCTTTTACTATCATGAATATGTGTTAGAAACTACAGTGTATGCAGTTATTACTTATGGTAAAATAACAACATCAGAGCTGTCAGGGGTGACCTCTGACTCTGGTGAGCTCAGTGAAAGGCATCTTGTTTTATCTCCATAGTAACGGATCTATGAGTAAGAAAGTCAAAGTTCAGGGTATAATGTTATGAGGAAGTAGTATGTCCCAATTGTGTGCATACTGTGTGCAACAGTACATACTTTTTAAGGGCAGCTGCAGTACCTACTACAAGAAAAGAAGAAGTATGCAACTCAGGACACACCTTTAATTCCTATGGTCTGAGACAGCCCAAAAATATTGGTAAATATGAACAACTCTCTTCCATTCTGTGGGTCCACAGGCTCCCATTCATTGTCTATGGAGCAACTCCAGACTTTACACGCTATGACATCACAAGTTGGAGACTTTGAGAGAGAGTAGCTCATGTTCACAAATATTGATTGAACTTACCTAGGCCATGGAAATAACCTATTTTAATTTCTCATTTTAGGTGGTGTTCCCCCTTAAATGAAAGAGTGCAGGCCACTTAGTTATTTCTTTGTAGTAAATGATTTATTTACAATTCCATAGTTACAGTCAACGCATATGAGTTTTGAAAGTGTTCGTTCAGTGCTTTGTGGTGAGGCACAGCCATCGTTCTGGCACTTCATATGTGCTCCTATCCGCTGTGTCATCGTAGGGAATGTGCCACGAGTCCCCTGAGGTCTGGATGATGGTGTCAAAGCTGGAAATACTCTAAACACACACACATGTACACAGTTAATAGGTATACCTTTTTCATTTGTGCCCCAATATCAACTCTCTCCTCTCAAACCCTTCCCTCCTCCTCCTGCTCCTTCTCTTTCTCACCTGAAATCGGACTCTCTTGCCCACTGTGAGGTGTCCATCCACTACCAGCTGGTGGCCTCTCTGCCATTTAAAGAAAAGCTGTCTGGTGGCTCCAGCTGGCAGGCAGGCCTTGTGGTCCCTCATCAGGTCCTTACTCACAAACCGACAGTGGTTTCCAGAGTGCAAAGTGGCATACAGCAAGAAGGGATCATCCTCCGAACTGGGCACAAACCAAAAAGTGTGAGGTGAACAAACAAATTATCTCAATAACAAATAGGTTTTAAATCAACCGAGGTATAGCTGAATGACAACGTGCTGCACAGTACTTATACATTGGTTTATTCTATTAATCAGCCTCCAACATGTTGCATGCTGCTCCTTAAACATTCTCAGTGAATAGTGTGTTTTTTTTTTTATAAGGGACTCACATATTGTCAGTGAAGAAGCAATGAGCTTTCTGTTGGATTACGTTCATGTTGTGTTTGTCCCAGGCTCTCGAGGGCCGCAGCATGTGTTTCCTGCCCAACACCAGGACAGTCAGGCCCTGACCCACCAGCTCTAACACCACCGCCAGCAACTGGAACACACACGTACATACCTCAATACTTTCATTTATGTTAATATGAAAAAATATAATATATTTAATGGCACAAATGTTAGTCTGGATGCCAGCTCCATGGAGATAAATAACCACACCCAACGGTGCATGTGGCAGCTCCTTCATGATTAATACAAGTATATAATCAGTTTTTACATTGTTCGCATCTACTGATTTAGTGCTGACTGTTGGAATGGGTGTGTGTGTGTGTGTCTGTGTGGGGTAGATCGTAAAACATGCCATTACTTGTTAGATAAGAAGTCAGATAAAAAGTAGGCATATAAAAGTGAATAAGAATAAGTTTTCTAAGTTGCAACAAAAACACACAATATAGCAGTGTTACAGACACACAGTATGTATTACATGCATTTTATGTGCACACACCATAAGCCATGTTTTTTAATGTCTTTCGATATGCTGAAGGGACAAGAACAATGTTTAGTTGTTTCTGAAAGATTGTACTTATTGCAACAGCAAAAACTACTACTTCTTACTTTTGTAGCACTGAACTAAGAGTTTTGTTTAGCGTGGTTGTTATGACTCTGTGGGCCCTGAAAATAAGCCTTTATCCATAATAATTTTAGATTATATGGCATTTGTGTTTCCAGAGGGAGAAGTCGAATGACTTTGGTGATCCTCTGACCTTTCCTCTAGCGCCACCAGAAGGTTGACACTGTGTTTACAGTGAAATGTCTCAACAACTACTGGATGGATCATCATGGAAGTTAGTGCAGACATTTGTGTCTCATTCAGGATTCATTTCATCAACTTTGGTCATCCTCTGACTTTTCATTTAGCGCCATCATCAGGTCAGACATTGAAATTTTTCTTATACTTTACTTTAAGATCAAATCCCTGCAAAACTAATGAAATTCCAAACAGCCTCAGCTGCACTTTGTATTTAGTGCAAATTAGCAAATGTTAGCATGTTAACACGCTAAACGAAGATGGTGAACGTGGTAAATATTGGTACATTTTACTGTGACAACTACCTGTTAAAAATCAGTATGTTAACATTGTCATTGTGCGCATGTTAGCATACTGACACTAGCATTTAGCTCCAGCACAGCCTCACAGTGTCGATAGCTTGGCTGTGGACGCTTCTTGTTGGTCACTGTAAATTCAGCAGGTATTTTCATATTTCATAGCTGTGTCCCTGACTTCTGATTTCATTCATACAGGCATTTAAATAAAACATGTTGTCAGTGATCCTCATGTGAAGTTATATGACTTTTGCATTCATTTCAGCAATGTATTTCCATGAACTAGATGACTAGATAAGGAAAAATAGATTTGTCTGTTTGCACTTTGCTTTGTCTCACAGACACATAACATCCTGAGAAAGATGTGGCATATCTTAATGCAGAGATATAAATACAGAGAGTTGACACATAGAGATGATAGACAGACAGATGTGGGCAGAAAAGTAGGCTAGGTGTTGTTAAAAATCAGGTATGGCCAGTTATAAAGACACCTCCTACACATGTCTGCTCACACGCACTGCAGGGTTAGTCATACTGCAACCAACAAAAAAAGCCCCTGAGTTGGACAGACATGTATGTAGGAAGAAAATCTAGACTGTTAACTGTGTGCGTGCATGTGAATGTGCAGAGAGGATGCTGAATGAGCACCGTTAGACTGATAGACCATGTAAAATATTAACTTTAAGATCTCCTTGTAATGTCACATTTTGCGTGCATGAGCATCTTTGTGTTTTCTCACGTTCTCTGACTGCCTGCTTTTGTCGCTGCTGATATGTGCTACATTCAGTCCATCTACGACCACATCAAAAGCTGGCCTCCTCTTCACAAATGCCTTGAACCGCTCCAATTCCTGAACAGACACATACATAAACAGACAGAGCGAGATAGTCAGAAAGACAGAGAGAGAGATATTTTGAGAAAAAAAGGTCAGTGGAGGAGAAGAAATTGATAAAAACAGGCTAGTGATAACTGAATATTGTCTTTTTTTATTTGCTTAACCATAGACACTCAGGGTAATTTACAGTAAAGTGCGTATATGTCAACACAATCATCTTAGAGATGCATGAAAATGCAACAAGGCTGAGAGCAGACAAATACAGTGACGAGTGAGTGATTGTGCACAAGTTTTTACTCTACTGTACTAACAAGACAAGAAGAGTCTACAGCAGAGGTGTGGACTCGAGTCACAAGAATTGGACATGGAAGTTTGATGATTTAAGACTTGACTTGATAAAATCAAAAAAGACTTTAAACTCGTCTTGGACTCAAAACACCATGACTTGTGACTTAAGTTGTACTTAAGACTTTTGACTTGAAAATACTTGATACCTTACCCCAAGCCAAAAGATCAATAAGTAGGTTATTTTAAAAGTGGGTCACGAATCAATTAATTTCCCTTTATTTCCTGAGTTGACTAACATTAAGACAATTCATTCCTAACAAGTCGACATTTAACTCTCCAGATTCTTGAACCAAACTGGCAGCATCTGATTCACAAACAAAAACTACAAGTGGTCAACAAAAAAACGTGAGGGTCAAAAATGAAAGATCCAACAACTTCCAACAAACTTGTTTTAACAAATAAATACAAATTTACAATAACACATTTTTGGGTGAAGAGTGCAGAACTTGTTTATGACTCAAAACCACAGACTGTAAAAATTAATAAATAAATAAATAATAATGCTCAAAACTCAAGGTTTAGTGCAAAGACTTGAGACTATCTACTAATTACTTGTGACTTGCAAAACAGTGACTTGGTCCATCCTGATGCTAACACAATGTGTCAACTATGTTCACAATGACAATGTTAATATTAATAATATTTGGTCATAATCCAAAGTACTGGACAAATTAAAAGTTTGAATCCCTGGTGCTGGAGGAATAGTCAGGGGATAAATAAAAAAGTTATAAAGTTATTACAATTCATCCTCAAATGTCCACGAATGTCTGCCCAAATTATTGGTCCATTCCACCCAGTAAAGTAGAGATATTTTACTGGATAAGTAAAATATTGGACCTGCTGGTGGCCTAGGGGAAAAGGGTTACGGTCATCCTCTTTGGCTCATGAATGTCTGTTCAAAGTTTCAATCTCATAGTTCTTGAGATTCAGTCTGGACCAATACATCTGGCTATACTAGCAGACCTTCATTTTCAGTAAAGGTGACGTCCTTAAAAGCTGAAAATTTGACTGGCTAATTAGCTGGATGTCTGGCTGAATATGTACAGTCTTGAAAATGTACAGGAAAAGTCTGCAGAACTCTCCAACAACAACATCAGGGGCTTGTTCCTTATTGTGGTCGGGGAGCGTTTCTGAACCCCACCTGTGAGCTGAGTGGCCTGATGGTTGGCTGGGTTTTTCACTGACTGATCACAGGCCTGCCAGTAATAAAACTACCTGGCCTTTTCTTCTCAGCACTGAGATGGCAGAGTGCCAGCTGGCAGCTGGACTGACAATAGAGTATGATGTTTTATGATCAAGTTTTATAGCTTAGATAATATAAATGCTGAGGACCTTGAACTTTTTTTCTCTGTTAGACAAAAGTTATTTTAGGTTAGACTCACTAAGATGACAACAGTAAAGTCAGTACACTCTCAGCAGTATTGTATGTACTATACATTTGGTCACACTTTATAAAGTTACTTGTAAAGGAGTTAATATAAAGCATGTGAGTACAAAGTCTGGTATGGAAAGACATCTACAAATATTCAATCGCTGTCTTAAACTTAAAGGGACAGTTCACCCCAAAATTAAAAATACATATTCCTTATTCCATATTTCCTCTTGCATCTAGAGCTCTTTATCAGTCTAGATTGTTTTGGTGTGAGTTGCCGAGTGCTGGAGATATCGTTCGTGGAGATGCCTGCCATCTCTCCGATATAATGGAGCTAGATGGCACTCAGCTTGTGGTGCTCAAAGTGCAAAAAAAAAGGAAAAACTCAACAGCAATGTCTCTTTCAGAAATCATGACCTGGTTACTAAAGATAATCCACAGACTTTATTGTTAGCAGTTTAATGTAGGAGCTATTTTCTTTCTACACCCATCAACTGCACAGAAGGAAGCGTGCATCTACTCATGGACATGTGGCCCGTACTTGTGACAGCGCAAAATGCACAGATTAATGTCATCCTCCTCAGCTGAGATAAAATGTTAGCTAGCTCAGTGGTGCTCAGTGAGCTAGCAGTTGATGCATGCTTCCTTCTGTGCTGTGATACGGTTGGCATGTTTAGTCAGGTAGAAAGAAAATAGTTCCTACATTAAACTGCTCACAACAAGGTCTGTGGATTATCATGAGTAACCGGTCATGATTTCGGGAAAGAGACGTTGCTGTTGAGTGCCAAAAAATTTGTTTTTTTGGCACTTTTTGCGCTACAAGCTGAGTGCCATCTAGTTCCATTACACTGGAGAGAAATCAGACATCTCTACAGCTGATATCTCCAACATTCACCAAATCACACCAAAATAATTTAGACTGATACACAGCACTACAGGAAAGAGTACACTACAAGTCATTTTTTAATGAACTGTCCCTTTAATTTTTCTACAACTGCAGCACCTTAAGATGCAGTCAAGTTACAGATTTTGAATATTTTGTCATCTGTTAATTATGAGCACAAGTTTTCTGCAGTGCAGGGAATGAGGAAGACGTCATCTGTGTTACAGATTTCTACCATAACAGGAATGTAGTGTCGAAGCTTAGAATAGGCCTCCAGCACGGGAACATTGCTAGTACTTTCACTTTTAGATAGCAGCAGTATGGAAATAGGTTGCAGTGAATTCCCCTGGACTTGAAACTCGACTGTGTGCACACTATCACGCACAATCAAAATGTGACCGTAAAAATGTAAAAAAGGTTGTAATATTCTTCCTCTGATGGAACGCTGCACTAGAGAAAACACCTGCCGAGCCCTGTTGACGCTCCAGTATCGATTTTAATTGCTTTGATTCATAACGCACATTCACACACGTACAGTATGGGTAAATAATTAATTCTACAAAGATGTGCATTTTCACAGTGGAGACTGGTCTCTGTTAAGATGTGTGTTTGGGGTGTGAGGCAAAAAGACTTAAAGAAAAAGACTGATTGATGATGGACAGATGGAAGTGTGGAGTTGAGGAGAGTGATAGAAGGGTGCATAAAAAAACCTACTATAAAAAGATTACGTTTGCCAAGAAAGAGAGTTTGAGAGAAGGAGAAGGAGGAAGAGAGAGACGGAGAGAAAGTCCAGTATAATTATCCAGGGACTTTCCAGAGCTGATATGTGAAACCAGTTCATTGTGCTGCTGTGGATGATATGACTGCTTAAAACACACACACACACACACACACACACACACACACACACACACACCACACACACACACACACACACACACACTAGCTCACAGCCACTCATGCACCATTATTACACAAAGCACGACAGTATTCTGTATACTTACCCCACAGCATTACCATTGACGTACAAGGATACTGCCTGTAATTATATTTGGAAATTTTAATTCAAACACTTTAACTTCCTTAACACTTGAACTTAACAAGGAACTTCCTGCTGAGTTTATCTCAGTTCTGACACTTGTCATATCAGCTCCACCTTATGCTACACATTTTTATTTGTGACACCTACTTACAGATTTTACATTTGAAAAATGTTTATAGAACCTACTGTAGAGAGCATTACTCAACTATATTGCAGATATACATGTTCAGTAATATATTATTATCACATATATAGATGTTCTTGAATGTATAATTGCACCAATATCTTTTATCCAAATGCAATCAATAGAAGAGAGAAACTAAACCTCAAATTATTTGAGATAAATGAATGCTATTAGCAGCAGCAGTAACACCAGGTAACAATATCGAGGCTAACCTTGTATGTAAGGATTATATAGTTATTTATTATTTTTGGTACTGAAGAACAACATTTGCATTTTAGTGAACTGAAATTGGCTAAAATAAAAAAGCAGAAGACTGTATAGTGTGTATTGTATGTTAAAATGTTAAAATAGACTTCTGTTCTTGTTTTAGTTTCTGAGGCCTGTAACCAGACTGGGTATTGATAAAAAAAATTACAATACCAGTACCCTTAGTGACACCGATACTAATAGAACGTAATTTTTCCTACTTCATATGATACCATCTTGTGAATGGAAATATTGAGTTGCGCAAAATGCCACCAGACACCAAGGACGTAGTGTACAGCCATACTTTCGAATGTTTTGGTGGCATCTCAGTACGCCGAACTGCCAACTCCATCAAATATACTGTGCTCAACTTAACCACACCACAGGCTGGACTGTATGGGTTGTAGCTGCTGCAGTAGTGGGCTAATCACACATAGCATTAAACTGAAGAACACTTGTGTTGATTGCTGCGAGTAAAATCATACATATCTTTTTTTCTAGATCTGGGTACAGAAAGGACTGAATGAAGGTATTGTTTGGCTGGAGAAGTTTTGATACCGCTTAATATTGGTTTATTTTGGTTAACACCTTAAATGTATTAAGTCATATAGGCCCAATACACAAAGCTCCTGAACTTTGGATATTCTGTTTTTTTCCCAGAAATAGGGGTGAACAAAAACATACATTTCTTTAAATGTAATGCAAAGCATGCACCACAACTGGACACTACAGCCTCAAAAATAACCATTTTTGTTGAAACACTGGGTCATAGAGGAGTTAAACATATAAGGTTTTGCAAGGTGCTAATGTCTGCTCTATAAGTCTGCATTAAATTGCACAGGGGTTTCTATTTTTCTGGTCATTCATTGTAATGTCAAAATGCATAATCATGCATGAAAATGCAAATCTGTCTGTATCCCTTGCTGCATCTGTTGCTGCACTGTAGTCTGAAGCACCCCGTTTACCCTTAAACTAATTGCCTTAATTTGGGGAATTAATAAAGTCCTGTGAACAGCATGTCTGTCTGCCTTCCTTGGCCTGTCTCCTCGGCGGGAGGTAGCTGTGGTCCAGATTCACATGGTGCTCCACATGCTGGAAATCCCCTCAATTTAACTAACTGTTGCACCAACAAACTCCCCCTGACTACCGAAAAACACAAAGGAAAACATGCAAACTTTTTCTCTGTTCATAAATGAAATATGACATATTATTAACTACATGTTAGTGGTTTTGCCAAGTTATTTTTTGGAACTATTTCAAGCGAAAAACCTTGTTTAAAGTTTATTGTTGCTGGCATTATAAAAAATACAGCCAGTACATTCCAATCCAATGAAAAGCTTTTGCCCTGGCTCCCTCTCCACACAGACACTACACATATGCATGCAAGATAAAGTGATGGTTGTGTTTCACTGGTTATAGAAGGGGCATGCAACCTAAAAATATTGTCCCCCATTTGTGTTTAACTTTGCGTGCATGTGTGTGCCGCCCTGTTTTCAAGTGTCAAGATCCTGCTTGCCTGTGGGGCTGAAGCTGTCTATCAAACAGGTGGTGTGATCACTTGGGAAACACTTAAAACCACATGTTAACTGACTGATAATCTCAGTGAAAAACTGGCCCTTCCCTCACCACATGTTGCTTCTTTAGAGAGGTGGAACAATGGTTATTGCCACTTCCCAAAAGGCAAAATATGCCATTTTTAATTTAATATATTATGTAAAATATTACCAACCCACTGCACAAAAGAGCAGAGTGGCTCACCTGACAATTTGGGAAATATGCATATGCGTTTTTATGTAGAGATGAGAAGATGGATATCTCTCTTGCATCTGTCTTTCACTTTGTCAAATATGTAGAAACTAGCATAAAGAAGAGAAACAAGGGGAAACAGCTGACCTTTAAAGCTCACTGATTATATCTAGTTTGTTTAATCCATACAATATGTGTAAATATGACATTCTGTGGTTTGTTTCATGTAAGACAAAATATAACCAGTAAGGTAATGTAGCTCAGTCGACTTAAAAGTTAGTTTTGTTTAGATAACCTACATTATCAAGTTGTATCAAACACAAATGCAGCTTAATAGTGTAGAAAGGGTACATTATTGTAGTTAAACTACTCTACTTAGCTGTATTAAAAGCAAATAAATCTTAATAATGTAGCTAAGGTACATTATTGTAGCTAAATTACATTATTTAGATGTATAAGATGCTAATACATGTTTAGCAAAGCAGCTAACATACATTATTAAGATGTATTAGCAGCTTATTATATCATAATACAGTAGCTAAGGTACATTACTAAGCTGTATTGGCATCTTATACAGCTTAATAATGCAGCTAATGTACATTATTGTAGCTAAATTACATTATTAAGATGTATATGATGCTCATACATCTTTAGCAAAGCAGCTAATATACATTAATAAACTGTATTAGTATTTTATATATCCTGATACAGTACCTAAGGTACATTACTAAGCTGTATTGGCATCTTATACAGCTTAATAATGCAGCTAATGTACATTATTGTAGCTAAACAACATTATTAAGATGCACAAGATGCCAATACAGCTTAATAATGTAGCTAAATTGCATTATTGTAGCTAAGGTACATTATGAAGGTGTATTAGCATCTTATACAGCTTAATAATGTAGCTAAGGTACATTTTTGTAGCTAAACAACATTATTAAGCTGCACAAGATGCTAACAAATCTTAATAATGTAGCTAAGGTATAATATTGAAGCTAAATTACATTATTAAGATGTATAAGATGCTAATACATCTTTAGCAAAGCAGCTAATATACATTATTAATCTGTATTAGTAGCTTATTATATCATAATACAGTAGCTAAGGTACATTACTAAGCTGTATTAGCATCTTATACAGCTTAATAATGTAGCTAAGGTACATTATTGTAGCTAAACAACATTATTAAGCTGCATAAGATGCTAACAACTTTTAATAATGTAGCTAAGGTACAATATTGAAGCTAAATTACATTATTAAGATGTATAAGATGCTAATACAGCTTAATAATGTAGCTATAGTTACATCATTGTAGCTAAGGTACATTATGAAGGTGCATCTTATACATCTTGATAATGTAGCTAAGGTATAATATTGTGGCTAAATTACAATATTAAGATATATAAGATGCTAATACATCTTAACATAGTTAATATACATTATTAATTTGTATTAGCAATTTATACATCTTAATAATGTAGCTAAGGTACATTATTAAGATGTATTAGCATCTCATTACGATGTATTAGATGTTACTGTCATTGTTAGCTATAAAATTGTAAAAGGTAATGACTTTGTTGTGTCTCAAAGCAGAGTGGAAACAACAGCAAGTAAGCTGTAGGCCTACTCAGCAAGGATCTGGATGACTTTATCTATGCCAGACACTAGCCTTCTCCTAATTAAAAAAAAAAAGAGAGATTATAAAGGCCAGAAAAACTCTAATTTTGAGGATGGCAGAGATGACTGGGTGGTACGTTACTCTGTGTCTGGGACTTATTACTAAATACCAAAGTTATACCAGTTCCGAGAAATGAGTCTTTGAACCAGATGGACGGACAGCAGCCTCACTGTGCCTGACGCTAACCTTCCTTTAAAACAACTCCTTAAAGTGCGTCAAAAGGAGATCTGATCAGAAGCTGTTTTACTTTCATTCATCTGGACAGTTTGCTTGAGTTAACTAAACTGCTTCAAATGACTTCAACAGCCTAGTGCTGCACGTGCACCAATGACGCCATCTACCGGACATTAGAGAGAAGGAGATAGAGAGCTAATGTAACATACTGCTGACAGATAAGCCTGGAAACAGAGATCTGATTTTTGACTTGGAAAGACAATTTTTTAAATACATTTTTGAGACAACAGCATAATGTTAACAATTACTAACATTAACAACATAATAATTACTATAAATGTAGATCATATTTTAATGTACAAACTGCAAGCAAAAAGCAATGCTATATTATTACTATGTATTAATACAAATTTATATTATCAAAAACTTTATAAATATTCTGTTAATACCAATTCATATTATCAACTGCATACAGTGAACTGAAATTAAAGATAAAACTGCATGCTCTGTCTTCATGTCCTAGTAGAGATGTATTTCATCTATTTAAATGACCCTTGACGTTAATCATTACAGATGTACTTAGAGTTCTTAGGGACCCATGAAAACCCTGCTTAGTGTTTGTGTGTGCGTATGTGTGTGTTGGTGTGTGTACCTCTGGTGTAGTCTTTTTAAAAACATCTGGTCCCTGAATGATGTCAGTCATCACTCTGTCTTTCAGCTGTTTGTACTCCTCAGCAGTCAGCTGGATGGACTCTAACTCAGACCCGCAACACCGACACACACCCCTAAACAAACACACACACACATAGATTCATACATAATACATACATACATACTGTATATACATAACACACTATTCTGCCCATGCACATATATGGATGAAAACACATAAGCTGTTATGAAGATTCATGTTGAAGTAGAAAGTGCTATAATTACTTTGGGGTGGCGCTGGACCAACTCCCTGTCCATTTCTGCCCTTTGAGACTGGAGACAGGGAGGTAGAGACAGACAGAAAATAGAGAAATGAGAGAAAGGAGTGATGGGTTGAGGTCTATGAGATCATGTGAAGTTCAAACAGGTGAGGTAAAGTGACTTCAGGTATGAATGTTGATTTGTTTGCAACTGACCACATTGTTGTTTTAAAAGCAGCACTTTAGGGAATGGCATAATGTGCATGCAGCCTAAGTTTACTACCTGACCCTCAGCACTTGTATGACTCTCTTGTACCTCTCAAACCAGGTCTTGATGCTGTTGGCGAGGCTTTGCTGAGGGTAGAACTGGTTGTCCCTCATGTAGAGCAAAATCCCCTGCAGCTTCTCCTGGTGCTCAGCCTCAGACATGTCCTCTGCATCCATCCCCTTTTCATCCTCAGTCTTCCTCACTGCCTTAAACAGAGCGTCCCAGGTCTCCTGGTGCGGGCTCAGTCCCATTTCAATTAAGTCATCGTAAAGAGCCCAGGCAGTGGTCGTGTCACCATTTAACACTGCTGCTGTGATGATATCACCATAGTTGCGTGGTGATGGGGAAAAGACCTGTTAGCAAAACAGTAAAACCAGATGATGATAGAGTAGAGATTTCTTGCAGCTTCAATATGAGTGTTTTTAAGTAACAATGAAAACATTGTTCACCTTCTTAACCTCTTGCAGGATGCCGACAGCCTCCCTCCACCTCGTCGTCCGGCTGAAGGATTTGATAAACAGAGTGGAGGCTCCTGTCTCCAGAGAAGGGAAACGTCCCTGCATAATCTCATAGACATCAAACACCTCGGTGTTATGGCCACTGCTCACACACAGCGTCAGGTACCGTAGTAGCAGCTCATAAGACAGCGTCCCTGTTTCCAAGGCTACAAAAGTGAGGAGGGACCTGTGGCAGAACATGTTTGTATCATACAAATGCTTTATTCACTGACCTTTATTCCTCTATTTGGTTATTTACAAGGAATTTAAAATGATAGTGCTTTAGATTTAACCCAAAACGATTTACTGTGGGAGCAGCTGCATCTTGTCAAATGTTTGCAAAATCACAGACACATAAACACACTCATCCTCCTCTCACTTGGCGATATCCAGCTGTGCTTCGGACTTGACTATCGCACTCATCATGTGGATGTCAAAGGTTTGCTGACTCCCCAGAGACTCCTTGAGTTTCCTCCACTCAGCAACAGAGAGTGGTCGGTCAGGAGGCTGCATCTTCACTGTGAAACATTAATGCGTTAGTGAAGGAAACTGAAGCAGTTATTCCAGACTTCATAAGACATTAGAAAAACATCATTTTACAAAACGTTAAATCAAGTACAGCACAAAAAATAAAATTTTGCACCAGAAAGGTCTGACTGTAAGAGCAAAACAAAGCTCTCCTGAGTGCAAAAAGATGCCTAGTAAAGTAAATACTTCCAGTGTGTCTTACCCGATCTTCTGGTTGGTTCCCCTACATGCTGCTCCTCTTCCTGAGAGGCCACAGCCGCTTTCCTCTTCAGCAGCTCTGTCGTCCTCTTTGCCGTCCCAGCAGCAAACACAGATTTAGGAATGGAAGGCCTCTGCCAAAGAGTGGAGCTCTTACCTCGTCCCTTGACAGAATCATCCCACAACCCCCATTCCTTATGTCTAATGGTGCTGTTTTTTACTCCCCCCTGTCTATCAGATCGTCCACTGTTCCTTCTGTCTGTCTGTCTGCCTCCTAGGTTGGGGTTGGTGTCTCTGGTGCACAGAAAGCGTGCTAAGACAGGCAGCTGTGATGACTTGCACAGAGAAGTATTTAATGTGAAGAAAGCTGAACTTCCCTGATAAAAGAAAGGCTTAAAGGGTTTCAGGCATATTCTGACCTTTAATATTAAAGTGGAGCCCATGTTAGCCTCTGGACTTGTGTGAACTTAATGTAAATTATCTATTACTACACTTCACATCCACTTCAGTTACAAACCAGCTTTAACTCTTAATTTACATGTTAAATACAAACTGTAGAAAAACGTTTTTCCACGGAAACTGACCACAAAACTTACACATGCTGTTAGTTACATGAGACTAGCGCACTAACCTTGCTGTTTCCAAATGCCACTAATTACTTTAATCTAACTATCACTCTTCCGTTAACTCTATAGATAATTATAACTCTTTAAATGGGACTCGCGCTTCCCTTCGATATCTAAATTAAACATCTACAACAGCTTCTGTCTTTCTACAGAACTTCATTGACAGCAACACACAACTGCGGGCTTGCTGGAGTCGCACACTTTGACGTCATCAAAACTGGACAGCTCCGCTTGTGAGCTGTGTCAAGTTTGCACAGACAACCAGAGACAGACCGGAATAAGAAATCTACTCTTAAAATGAATCTGTAAATTTATAACTTAAGACGGAAGAATTATTTTTTGAAAAATATTACTATATTTTCATTTTGTGCCTCATCTCTTTGTATTTTTGGTCTAGACAGACAGACTATGAGATTCCCTTGCAATCTATATTTTACTGGAACTGATAGCAACTGTTCTGGAGATAGATTTGTCTCAGTATTATTTGTGTTAAAAGACGCGTGTAAGCGGAAAATGCAAGACACCTTCATATACTAAAAAATATTTGTATATTTAAAAAAAAAATATTTTGCGAACATAAAATGGATCAGCAAACACACAAATTCAACAAATTGAAAAAAAATTATGCATAAATGTAATAATTTACAAATAAATGAAAACATTTGTTACTATTTTTCAGATATGAACAACTTTTGAACAAATATTTGTGAATCCACTTTTTATTTATGAATCTCAAATCTACTTTAGTGGATTTACATTTTGAGTACACTTTTTTTTTTCATTTTTTTAGAGTTTGTTTATGTAGTTTCAAATCTGTTTTATATTTGCAAATAGTTTTTTTTTTTAGTTTACCCATCTTTTTCTGTACTTGTGGAAATTGCTTCATACTCACAGATTAAACATTTATAAATGGATGGTCGATCTGTTCACACAATAATACTGAGACAAATCTATCTCCATAGACTGTTATTATCTAAGATATATACTTTGCTGCTTACTTGTTTTGACTTTTGATGGGTTTGCTTCCCCCCCAAAAAATGTATTTTAAAATACCCTTTTATTTTGAAATGAAATGTTCAAACCGGAAGCCCTCTTCTTGTTTAGTCAGTAACTTGACGTTTTCCCACTTCTGGGTAGCTTGGCTAGTTTCGTATACAAGTCTACTTTCCACTGTTTGTGACTTTTGGGATGGAAAGGTTACACTGACGAAATATTAAAGTCACGTCGGAGCAGGTATGGCTAAAGAACAGCAGCCTCAGTGGACGGATATTTTGAAAAGACGGTTAGCTAACTCTAAAAAAGGTGAGACAAAATGTAAACTAACGTTACACACTGGCTAACGTTAGCTCCTTTGGGTTGTAGTTGGTTAGCTAAGTCAACATTAACTTGGTTTTGATTCGTGTCCCTGTTTCGGTCCAGATGAGAGAAGCGACGAGGAAAAGAAAGCAGAAGAAACTGAGCTGTTCACCAAATATTACACAGAGTGGAAGGGAGGAGGCGACAAAGACAAGTCCTACAAGAACATCCCACGATTTTATTACAGGGTATTATTTGAATACATAACATATGTTAACCTTGTGAAAAGTGTTGTCAGTTATGTAATTTTCTTTGTGTTATGGTACAAGACAGATGACTAAACTCTGTGCTTATTCTACATCCCAGCATCAGTACCTGTCAAAGAAAAAAAACAAGTATATGTAGGAACAAGAGGTGTCATACAAATTCTCTGGCCTCATAACAATAAACTACAGGATTAATTAGGACAAGTTACTGTATTGCAGGAAACCTTAAATGTTATTAATAGTGTATGACACCAGAATAAAATAAACAGTGAAAGGCACTTTTTCTTCAAGGTTTTCAACTGTGATGATAATGCTCTTAGATTACATTAGGGTCCAGCAGTAATACTGAAACAACAATGATGGTAGTGATGATGAAGATTATGATTTTGATCATGTTATTACTAATGTGGAGTTGCCTTCGAGGTGCAATGAGACAGGCTTGCTGTTTAATGATAAAGATGTGCAGAAGTGAAAACAATAATGAATTTGTTCTGCAGCTACCAGCCGAGGATGAAGTATTACTTCAGAAGCTGAGAGAGGAATCCAGAGCTGTCTTCCTCCAGAGGAAGAGCAGAGAACTGCTTGATAATGAGGAACTACAGGTAAAACACACACACTTAAAAGCAGTCAGGCACAACATAATGACTTATACTTCTGCATTAAAAAAACAACAGTGTATGTTTGTTATTTGGTGTCCATCCACTTTGTTGTCTTTTTACGTTCCCATTTGTCTTTCTGCAGAATCTGTGGTTTCTGCTGGATAAGCACCAGGTGCCTCCGGTGAGTGGAGAGGAGGCCATGATCAGCTATGAAGCCTACCTGCAGGTGGGGGAGAAGGCCGGGCCCAAGTGCAAGTAAGTAACAGGAAGTAGAGGTTTACTGACAACAGCACAGTTAGTCTTGTTTTATGTGTTCCTGTTTGCACCAATGATTCATGCAAGTTATTACTATTTATCCTTCTGGTGTCAATATGTCTCGGCTTATGGGATAATGGTGTATTCAAAGAAATACACATAAAGTATTAATTGCATTCGAAATGTGATCACTACCTCCTAAGGTTGCTAGGGATGCATTTGGCCACATTAAACAACCCAAGCACTCTGTGGTAGTAAAAATGTATTTTTGAACCAGGAAATGGACACAGGTGGTTAATGTGTCACTGTGTGTCCACTGTCAGTTTTAAAGGGTTTAAATATTAAGAAAGGATGTAATATTTTCGTTGACGAGAGAAATCTCATCTTAATGTGTATAGCAGGGACTTATTAAATCTTGAATAAGTCTGTAGAAGTAAAATACAGCTAAGATAGTTCTGTACCCCGGGGAAGAAACACATTAATAGCAGATGTAAAGGGGGAACTCTGGCTTTGAGAATAGAGCAAAGTAATGAAAAGTAACAATTTCTCTCCCCTTCTCTCCTCTCCTCCCTTAAGAAAATTTTTCACAGCCAGAGTGTACTCCAAGCTTCTCCACAGCGACCCTTACGGCAGGATCTCCATCATGCAGTTCTTTAACTACGTCATGAGAAAAGGTCTGGACCTCCATTTTCTTGTCTACTGTGTCTCTTTTTACATGATGAGCAGAAGGCAATGAGCAACAAACAGAAAGGCTTCTTTACTGTGAACTGATACAATTTTCTAAACTTGGGTGACATCAATATATTTCCACTGATTTTTGTTTTGTTAGGATCTCCCTTTCCAGTTTACTTACGTGGATTAATCTGAACTGGTGAGTGTCTTGTCACTGAATGTTGCTCTTTTCTATTCTCTCTGTACATGTAGTATGGCTGCATCAGACCCGGATAGGCCTGAGTCTGTATGATGTAGCAGGACAGGGCTACCTCAGGGAGTCGGTAAGCATTTCCATCATTAACCTCACATTAAAAAAAAAAAATAAGTTTTTCCTCTTTGAAGTTATTGCAGCCAGTGGGGGAATAATGGTTTGCATTAGTACTAAAAAAATAAAGGAAGAGTTGACACTAATTATTCTGTGAAGGATCTGGAGAACTACATCCTGGAGCTGATCCCCACTCTGCCTCAGCTGGACGGACTGGAGAAGTCCTTCTACTCTTTCTACGTCTGCACCGCAGTTCGCAAGTTCTTTTTCTTCCTCGACCCGCTCAGAACAGGTGAGCTTTAACCTCACACAAGGTGAAAATGTATCTCTACAATAAAATGCTATGGATACTGACAATACATGTCAAAGGGTAGTTTTAAGGATTATTAAATGGACAATACAGGCAAAGGCAAGGACACTTGTGGGGACTTGTGTGCTTTATTAGAGGTGATATCTGTGGCTATAATGTGTTTTTAAAGATGCAGCAATGAAATGTTGGATTTACAGAGGTTGAGTTTAAGAAGTCAGAAACATTTTCTTTACTGAGAGTGTGTGTGTCTGTTATTTTATTTCCTCAGGAAAGATTAAAATCCAGGATATATTGGCCTGCAGTTTTCTGGATGACTTGTTGGAGGTAGAATTTTTGTATAACTCACATTTCTTAACCTTTTAAAATCCATTGGGACTTCTTTCACAACTCATTTTGTGTTAATTCATACTGTATAGTTGATTCTGTATGTGATAAAATGTCACAAATTTATTGAGTTTGTACCAGCAAGCAGTAAGAAAACCAAACCCTAGTATTTTTAAAGGGACAAATGTAGGAATAGACTGTAATTTTAACTGTCTCACTAAAAGATGTGTCATTTTGTAGCTGAATTATATGAATAAGTGCTGAGTTTTTGTGTTGTTATTCCTTTACAAGACAAATCAATGTTAAGCAATACTTCCACAATAGGAAAGATCAGCTGATGCCATGTCTTGTTTCGTCTCTCTCCTACTTTCTTCCTCCTCTCGCTGTGCTCTTAGTTGAGAGACGAGGAGCTGTCTAAAGAGAGTCAGGAGTCCAACTGGTTCTCAGCCCCCTCGGCTCTCAGAGTCTACGGTGAGAAAACATCTGTGCCTGGATGTCAGGTTTCAAGTCTCATGTGAAATGTTCATGGAATTAAATTATCCTCAGACATAATGTAGGTGTATGTTCTTTAAATATTATCTGTGCCAGCTAAATTAGAATACTTTGGTGGGCGCAGTGTGAATCTGGGATTCTGGGTCAATAGAAATGAAGAACCTTGGATGTGTCTGTATAAGAAATCAGCTCAGTGAATATCCCAGACTACAGCCAGTCAGTGCTGTGCTTGTGTTAATGCTATTTCTGGGATTTATTTTTACATCTCTGCGTCTCTACAGGCCAGTACCTCAACCTGGATAAGGACCACAATGGCATGTTGAGCAAAGAGGAGCTGTCACGCTACGGCACAGCTACGCTCACCTCAGTCTTCCTGGACAGAGTGTTTCAGGAGTGCCTCACCTACGATGGAGAAATGGTACAGTTAGCAACAGTGCCTGTAGGAGAGCTGTTGTAGACATACAGATAGGGATAAATTAACCTCCTTTTTAATGCTGAGAATTATCAGGGATTGAACTAAATCCCTCCTTTGTGCATATTTTTAGGTGATTGTTTTGCAGACTTCTGTGTGTGGGGTGTAAATTGGATATTTACTGTACATGACTGTGTTCCTCTTCTTCTACCTCAGGACTATAAGACCTATCTAGACTTTGTGTTGGCGCTGGAAAACAGGAAGGAGCCAGCAGCGTTACAGTATATCTTTAAACTTCTGGACATGGAGAATCAAGGATACCTCAACGTCTTCTCCCTCAACTATTTCTTCAGGGTATCAGCTGCACACACACACACACACACACACACACAAATGTACTTGTGGTTTCAACATCTATACACCCCTGCAAAGAATACCTTGTTTGTGTCACTATGGCAATCATCCACCAATTTTTGTTGTGTTGTTCTTCAGGCTATACAGGAGCAGATGAAACTCCATGGGCAGGAGCCTGTCACCTTCCAGGATGTCAAGGTATATTGTGTACACACACACACACACACACAGACACATACAGTCCAGACAAGTTTCCTTAACACACCAATCCTTGTGCACAACTTGCTGTAGTAATGGCAGCAATGTGGTCGGTGCTTTTAAGATGGTGAATGTTAACCTAAGTTTGTTTTCACTGTTAGCCTTCCAATGTCTTTTTGATATAACTATTGATGGGTCCGTCTCATTCAGATTTACATTTATTGTGGTTGACAGAAGGTTCAGTTAAGCTGTAGAGATCGTTGACCCTCTATTATGCCAAATAGAGACATCCCATGTTCTGTTGTTAAAACAAAAAGATGAACATTTGATTACCGCCTCTCCTCAGGATGAGATCTTTGACATGGTGAAGCCTAAAGACCCCTACAAGATCACTCTCCAGGACTTGGTTAACAGTTGCCAGGGCGATACCGTCACCAGCATCCTGATTGACCTCAACGGCTTCTGGACCTATGAGAACAGAGAAGTGCTGGTCGCCAATGACAACGACAGCAGCAACACAGCTGACCTGGACGACAGCTGAAGATGATTTGGGGTTGAAGTACAGTAGAGACAATCATGTTACCAAGAGGTCACAGTGTCATTCCCAACCTGAAACTATCCTGCAGAAGTTTCAGCTCTGGACCCTTACTCAACTAAATGTCAACATTGTGAAAAGCTTGAGGAGATGTACAGAAGGAGAGGGATAAGAATGAATGAGCTGGATGAAAGGAGGAAAGCCAGAGATGGTTCTTTGTGTAAATATCGTTCTGTGTTCCTGCTTCTTGTTTTCCTGTAAAGAAGATCTATTACATGTGTTTTATTATTGACCTCTTTGAAATAAATGTCCTTTTCATGCCTTTTATGACAATGTCTAAATGTTTCACTTCACTTTGTATAATAGAAGCACACTATCATTTAACACCCACTGAAATTGAAGCAGCTGCAAGAAGATCAAAAAACCCAAATACAAACAATAATTCACTGATTGACTGTCAAATTAAACTTTAAGTGGCTATAACTGATATTTTCATATTAACAGTGATCAAATGACTACATGTAATGTGAAAGGGGTCACTCAGTCACAAACCGACAGAATTGTCATGTGACTCTGCAGTTCCCCTCAGCTCTACAGGGCTTTTTTAGCATCTTTCAGCTCGTTGTGTTGGTTTTCCAGCCTGCAACTTCACTGTTTTGATTCACTTAGTTTGAAAACCAAAAACAGAGCCCAACAGAGGGCTGCTGAATGTGTCAATAAGCAACTGCATGCTAACAAGTGTGTTACTCCCCCCAATCAATCAATCAATCAATCAATCAATTTTATTTATAAAGCCCAATATCACAAATCACAATTTGCCTCACAGGGCTTTACAGCATACAACATCCCTGTCCTTTGGACCCTCACAGTGGATAAGGAAAAACTCCCCAAAAAAATCCTTTAACAGGGGAAAAAACAGTAGAAACCTCAGAAGAGCAACTGAGGAGGGATCCCTCTTCCAGGACAGACAGACGTGCAATAGATGTCATACAGAACAGAGTGGCCAATAAATCTGTCAGGGCAGATGAGGGATCACTGGTACTTCACCAACTCCCAAGGTGAGATCATTAGTATGAAGACAATGATAGAACATTAGTGTGTAAAATACATTTTACTAAAATGTAATATGAACTGCAAATACGCAGAATATTCCCACATCTCTATTTGCTTTGTATATTTTATCATATAAATGTGATGTTGAAGAATAGAAACCATGCTTTGAGATTTGACGTTCAAACAAACAAAGACACAAGATGGAATGAAAGTAAAATGTAAAATGGTTGGGACTGTTAGAAAACTTGACATCTTCATGATTGTCATTGTTCATGCTTACTGGTACATGATAGAGCTATCACTAAGGAAACCTTCTAGAAAACAGAGCAGACTGTTAATTCCTTCATAAAACAATGGGATTATGTATAATAATAAAACAAAAGTCAACCTTTTGAATGTTTAAAGGTTTTATTAACACAGAAAATAGAAACATGTATATACAGATTCATTAAAGGTTTGTCATAGTAACTTTTGCATATTATGTTGGCCCTTTTGTCACATTAAAAAAGCATAAATAATATCCTTCATTAACTAGTGAAAGATAGTCATCCACCTAGCTTTAAGTTGTGGGCTGATATGTTGGGATTCCACTTTCAGTACATCTTTTAAGTCCATTTAAACATCTCTTTTTGAGCTAAATCATTTTTAAAAAGCCATTCATGGCTAAACACTGCTGAGGTCTGAGGCCTGTCAACACACCACACAGCCATGTCAGTGGATAAAAATAATCAATAAGAAGCTTATGATAGCTCAGTCTCAGCATTACACCCGCTGCGCAGCTACACATTCATATGAAAGGCTTCCACAAGGACACTTTAAGAATGAACCCTTCACACACACACATGATGGTTGTAGCACTGGATGTGGGCAATTTCTTATGCCAGTGTAGCGTATCAGTCATCAGTACATTTGACCACTAGAACATTTTTAAAGATTTAAACTACAATAGTATTATTTAATCTATGTTGGCTTAAGATTTGCACTTTTGGCATTTCACACAGAAAAGAATTAACACTACAAGTTGTTCCTGCTGGTCAACTGATTGAACTATCAATACAGAAACACATTTGTTAGATTGCAACACATGGAAAGTAAAGCAAGCAGATTACTTAGAGCTCTGAAGTTACATTCAGAACTACTGGACACTTTCACTTGTGCCATTTCTAGTGGCTTGGATATAATATTTATCAGAAGGGCTGCAAAAATCAGGAAATATGTGCTGCTTAATTAAAGATTTAATAGGACACCATGTCTGAGCAGGCATATTTTACGCTCTTGAATGATCCCTAGTTAATAACTCAACATATAACATGTACTCAAAGAGCAGGAAGGTACAGTAGCCTTAAGGAAGTAGCCATGGCTAATAAAAGGCTGAAGCAGCAGGATTGCCATGCTGTACGTATTTGGATATTATGTTGAAATCATAAACAATGTTCAATCAGTTCTAGCTACTGATGTCATCAATCCCTGCTTATCTTTACAACTTGGAAGCCAAAAACTATCCAGCTCTATTACACCTTGCAGATGCACACGCCAGGCATAGGCGAGGATGTCAGACACAAGGAGCAAAGAAAGAAACTGAGAGCAGAAATGGCGGAGCAGTGTCTGTATCAGGCTATGCCTTTGGCTAACTGTAGATGTGGTAGGTTTCTATTCATGTTGCTGCCTAAATCAGGAGCAGGGTCGATTCACTTTCTGTTCTCTCTTCAGTTCAGGGTGGATTTCCCTCCGTTTCTAATCAATGGAAAACTGAGATTGATGACTGTTTCTAAATAAGATCCAGCATTTATTTCCCTTTCTCAACTGATGCCAGTTTAAAGTGAGTTGCGCCCAGTCTGGTAGACACTTAACTAAATGATGCATTTAAGTCTTGCATATTATTTTTAACTATACACACATTTACATTCACAGGTAAGGCTTGTGCAGTCACTTCCACAGCCCTTTTAATATTTCCCTGCACTTTGTACCAAGATCTCTTTTTATAAAGTAAAAACATATAAAAATAACAATATTATTAATCTATACAGCTAAGTAAATTAAGGTTTTACCAACAGATAGAAACATGTGCTCTCTGCGAGTGTCAGTTTTCAGGAGGGGAGGGGAGAAGGGACTCTGTTGGTGTCTCCAGTGTTGAGTGTGGATTCAGGTTCTAGCTCAAAGCTAATGTTTACAAAGGAAGCTCCAGATGCTTCTGGCTGCTCAGTAGCAGGATGATCATCCTGCTCGCCTCTCCGCTGCTCCACAAACCGAATCTCTGCCATCTCAGCCAGACGGTTCTCCTCCTCTTCCTCCTCCTCCTACAGGAGAACATCAGTGTGTGTTGCATTTATTGCTAAAAAGTTATTATTTGACAGTTGATGTTTGTGTTCTAGCTCCTGCCTCTGCGTGAACAGGATTTTAAAGGTGTGACTTTATTCATATTTACATATGGAATTCACATATGAAAGTCAAGGATGTGTGTGTGTGTGTGTGCATGTGTCCTACCTCTTTCTTAATGCGGTAGTACTCATCAATAGCATACTGGTATTTAGGAGTAGTGATGCCGAACAGAGAGGCCAGTCTCTCTCCCATGTAGTCACACACTATAAAAAAACATACACACTCTTTCAATAAAAATATTTTCTAACACTTGATGCAGCTTTTTTTGTGTGATTATCACCTGTGGTGTGATATGAAGGGGACCAAACAACTAAATGCTATACAAGTGTGAAACAGGGTGTAAAATACATTCTGATACATCACCGTAAAGCATCTAATTTGTACAGTTTGCTAACATTCCAGTATTTCTGCAGAACATTTATTATATTTCCTGACTTCTTCTGTCTGGAAAACACCTCTGAAAACTCATGATATTTCAAAACTTAGTAAGATGTCATTGGTCCTTGCAAGCACGAATACCAACTGAGACAGTAGGATACTTTACCTGAGATAGTGGAGGTGCCCATTCTCCAAATGTGGAACCAGAAATATGGACCCCAGGTCAGTTTGGACTACAATACACATGGGAAAAACAGGATCATTAAATAACACATATGCTGGTCAAACACAAACAAAAAAACAGCTAAGATTATGTCTTAAGCATCAAGGCATTATTTTATACTACAAGCTGACAGCCCGACTTTTGGCCTGCCATTCACCACTGTTTCTTTCTTACAAGTATCCCTAGCCTTAGCCAAAGTCAAAAGCTTTTATTTCCTAAAAATATCATCCTAGTGATCTTTATCTATTCAGACTTATTAAGATATCTTGTGATTTGAGACTAATTGCCCAACTGGAATGGATTTCTGCCCAACAACTTAGGTTGATGCAAACACCACCTACAGGACATCTGCGGCTGCGTCAGGATCTCTAAAATTCCGATTGATTCAGTAAAGTGATTGTGAAACTTTCTGATCTCAACCTACCGGATCTACTGTGGTGACGTCCCTCCTCAAAGGCTCCTCCACTTCATCCTCTTCATCGGTACTGTATTCCTCCATGGTCTCCCCACTGGCGAAAAAGATGGTCCTGCGGGGAACCTTCACCCTCTCCTGCCTCCCCACAGGGGAGTCTCCCATTTCCACCCTCTCGAAGTCTGCTGCCCCTCCTGAACTCTGAAATAGTTCGAAACAGACTTTACATGTATATGATGCCATCATAATTAATTATTATTATTAACACAGCCGCATTATATTATTGTTAGCTTTTGTAATTTATAATTACTTAAGTGTACCATGTGCATAGAGTTTGATGTACCCTCTCACACAGTATATTTGGCAGAATACACTCAACAAAATAAAACATCTACCTATCTAAGTTATTAAACCGACGTTATATGTAGTTGCATTATTTACCTCGTTATGCACTGTAGCTGCACAGTAACCTAAGCAAAAATAAATCTTCCAAAATTTGATGACAAAACGTTTCAACTGCAAAGCACGAACGTTAGCTCGTAAATTAGCCTTAGCTTACTTTTGCTACTTTGTGTTTGTTGACTGTTAGCTTCTCAGCTAAGGAAGTACTTCGCTTTAAATCTAACAAGTCTTTGTTTTAACGTTCACAAACACGAAAAGTGGCGAAAGTTGCCTCGCACAGACCAACCTTATCAGTTTCCATAGTTTGTCCCAGTGAAACATTGGCATTAGTTAAATACAGCGGCAAATCTGCCATGTCAGTCACTTCTTCCACCTCACCACGATCTGGTTGTCTGGGTTCTGCCCGCACAACTTCCTCTCTGACCTTTTCAGGATAAAAGCTTTTTGTGTAGAAAAAACGTGTTGACAAATTTTGACAGCATTCAGCCATACGGTACGTTCCTGTATTTGGTGATAACTGTTCTGCACTTTCCAGTAAAGCCATACAATGTACATACTCTTCTTAAAGAAATGTGTGGATGAATTTATTATTTATTTATTTATTATTATTATTTATGTATGTCTCTTTAGTGATAGCTAGTGTGTGTGTGTGTGTGTGTGTGTGTGTGTGTGTGTGTGTGTGTGTGTGCGTATATGTATATTTACGTATCTCTATGTGGGGTGGGAGGGTTGGGTTTTCTCTTTTCTTTTTGTTTTCTGTTTTGGATCTTTGTTGTTTTTAACCTCTGTGAGGCACTTTGTGTTACTGTTGTATGAAAAGTGCCATATAAATAAAGTTGATTTGATTTGATTTATACAATACTCTTGACCTCTGACTTTCACTATGTCGACTCAGTAAGGCTGTTGGTTACTTTCCCCCCTTTCCCCCCTTTTCACAACAGTTTTCTCAACCTGTGTAAGCCGCGTCAAGCAACAAAAGTTAGCGCTTTTAAAGTTATGTTGTCATCAAATTTGCAACCGTCGGTAATCAAAGCTTTATTTTGAAAGTAATGTTAGTGAGCGGAAGCTGTGTCGTTCGAATGCAGGAACTTAACACCTAGCAGCGACAGGGAGCTTTTTGTGGTGTTTTGGTTCGGTCGAGCCCACTCACAAAAATGACAGCGAGGAAGTCTGGCTCACGACTGGAGACCGAGATAGAGCGGTGCCGTTCAGAGGGTCAATGGGACAAGATACCAGAGCTAGTACGGCAGCTCTCAGCCAAACTAATATCAAACGGTAAGATATGTGCGGTGTTTCCCGGTCGTTCGTTCATTCAGTTTATAAGGCCTTCTCCATGGTCTGAGTCCTCGGCACTTCCTGACAGCAGCAGCCGATACTGGGAGTTTTCCAGCTCTGTGGTGAGCTAGTTAGCTAGCAGAGGTCAAGAGAGAATGCGTCGTTTCCCAGGGGATTTTACCTCAGTGGGACAGTGTAGTGTGCCCACACTGAGATACTTCAATTGTAAGACATGGATAACTTAGTTTCTGTGGTGTGACAGCTGAGCCCTCTAGTTCGCTCTGCTCCTCAGTCAAGCGGAAATACACACAAACATTTGTCATTAGCTTAATGTAGTCCATGCTTTAACTGTATGGCAACCTATCCAGATACTAATTTTCCACATACAACAACAAATATCTTTATGCAAAATAACAGAATTGTTTCACCTCTCTCATAGTACTTGGTGTTGCTAGGACGCATAATTGCTAACGTTACATGCTAGCTGTCAAACTCCTTGCTGATGCTGAATTGTAAACTGTACTACTGGCACTACAGCTCATCATAACGTAAATACTCTTGACAACAGATGAATATTTTAGTTTTAGAAATTAATGGGGATAGGCCTAATCTGAATTAAAGGTTGTTTCCTCTTTTTAACACAAAGTTAAAATGTCTCTTATGTGTAAAATCCCTGAGAAGTGAACGCATCACGATGTACATGACGTCAAAGGTGCATAGTGATGCATGCATTTGATTGAAATTTTATAATTGTCCTCTTGATATAATCTACCCCTTTTATTAAGAGAATGAATTGGCATGCATGCAAACAGATTTAAAAGAATTACATGTAAACAGCATCACATCCCATCTTATCATGCTGCAATTGCTCTTCTGCTGCAGATGTGTGTGCAGTGTGCTGCTCTATCTTGCCACCTCTGCATTAAACCAAGGTTGACTGCTGGGGATGGTTAATACATTTAAGTACTATAAAGACTTCTAGTGTGATTGATACCTCCTTTTATTCCCTAGAATCTTGGTATTTTCAGCCTGGTGTGAAATTACTCTTTAAGATAACTATATGGGCGATATGTGGGAGTCTAATTCAATCATTTATAGTAAACTTGCAGTTGTTGTGAGACTACTCTAGAAAGTAAAGGCCAACATTAAGAGGTCCATCTATTTTTTTTTTGTAGGTAAGCAGCAGCCACAGCCAAGAAGGCAATTAGAAGAATTGCTCCTTTTCGGTTATACATTTGTCAGGCGAGGTGATAACTGCGGTCATAGTCTTAAAACAGAAGGGATGTTCAATCATTGTGAACTATGAGCCAGGAACTGCTTCTAATGGCTTTATTGAGTGTGTTAAAAATCCACTGACCCTGACTTTTAGTTGGATGATTTCAGAAAACGTTGACATTATTTAGTGCCGTATATTCCCATCTTTATCATTGTTAGAAATGCTATATGTTAAATAAATGTGAATATACCATAGACTGAATGTTATTTATATTGTGCATGTAACTAGAAAGATTACCAGATATTTTACGCTAGTGGAAGATGTTAATTTTGCCGACATTTTCTGAATGCTATGAAAAATGCTGCAATTATGGAATGTTATTAAGCACATGAGAGCTATGAGCTCTGGTCACTGACTGGGATCATTAACAGGATTGCTGCTCTTTTCACCCTTTGAACCTCTAAACACACACAATCACCCGATTTAGGAGCTTGCTAAGGCTATGTATAATTCTGGCTGGTATGTGTTTGTAAGCACAGCAATGTTTCTCTCCTTGTAACTTACAGCTCAACAACAGGAGAGGAGAAGCCTTGAAGTGGAACCATTGTCATTAGATAGCTAGACATGAAGGTGGTGTAAAAGCTTAATCTCATTTTGATTTTGAATTGTAAATCAATTACTTTTATATTGACCTTAGATTGGCTTTAGATTGACCTTCAAACCTTACACAGTGTTCCTAGTTTAACCATTTATTGCCCTCAGATAAAGTATTGATTTATTTTAGATTGGTCATAAATTGATGTTAGATTTAAACTGGCAGTCAGATCCTAGATTGACTCTACTTATTTACCGCAAGCCTATCTAAGTGACAGAGAGTTGAGCCTTATACAACACTATTTAAAACACTAACTTTTAATAGTAGTTGCCAGGTTGGCAGCTTTTAGATGCCAAAACTGAAAATATGGTTGCCATTTTTAGTCACCTTAGATTTTAAATAAGGCAGTATGCAGGCATGTTCCTCTTGTGTCAGCATGGGTTTTCCCTGAGTCCTCTGGCTTTCTCCCACAGTCGTAAGACATGCAGTTCAGGTTAATTGGTGACCCCAAATGGTCTGTCGCCATGTGTCAGTCTGGCGATTATCTGGTGATAGTCGCCTCTCGCCCAGTGTCAGCTGGGGTAGGCTCCAGGCCTCCTGTGACCTTGTACCAGGATCAGTGCTTGTGGATAATGAATGAATGAAGATATTATGCAGGGGTTTTTTTTCAGCTCAATAATGAAAATGTGACATAAAAGACTCTTTAAAAACTGTATTACAGTAACTGAACAAACTTCTTTGTCATTTGTGTTTTATCTGATACTTAAGAATCTTAAGTGTTGTCAGGTCATGTGTCCACCCTCAATTCGTAGTTTACAAAATACCAGTATTGTAGCTGTTGTCATGTTCCTTAGCAAGTCACTGGTTGCTTGTTCATCTGTTCTGTCCCTTTCAGATTTTGGTTCTTGACATTTTTGCTCATTCCCACCACAGATTAATTGGCCCTTGAACAACCTACTTTCAGAGATGACCTCTAATCTGTTTTGATTCTGCTTAGACAGCTGAATCCTCTCTCACATAGAACTGCAGAGATGTGACACCACATCACGTAGCATCAGAATGTGGGAAAACCTTTCCTGGTGGCGTCCATAACATGCACTCGAAATAGCACGCCTCCCTGCATTGGCAGTAAATGCCTCCAGCTGAGTCCGCTCTGTCAAGACAGTTTCCTTATTTATAAGTTTTCGTCTCTGTAGGATGGGTTGGAAGTGATGCTATAGACGTTTGAAGTCATGTTGTCAATATGCTACAGAAAGAATAGCAGTCGCGCACATCCAAAAAACATTTGAGGCAGGTGCTTGACCAATAAATGATAGCAATACAATATGAAGAAAGGTCGACACACTGTAGCTCCCTTAAGTGCAATTTATTAGCATATCCACAAATGATGTTTCGAGCTAATGCTCTTATTCAGACTGTTGATGTGGTAATAAATTGCACTTAAGGGAGCTACAGTGCACAGTGTGCATGTTTTATAGTCCACCCCATGGCTATTTTTTGACATCACTTACACAACAAATATTGAAATAGTATTCATTGTGGTGTGCAGTTTTGCTGTTTGCTGTCCCTATTATTTAAATGTTTAAAAAGTGTTTGACACAGATGGAAACCAAAGGCCAAGAATTGGTTGCCGCTGTTTCAAAATCATTGCCATTGGCAACCTGGCAAGCATTACTGTCTAGCCCTGTTATTCTTATGACTTCTTCAAACATCTTGTGTGTGTGTGTGTGTGTGTGTGTGTGTGTGTGTGTGTGTGTGTGTGTGTGTGTGTGTAGATGATCTAGGGGAGTTGTTGCTGGGAGAATGCAAGCTTCAGACGTACCTGAAGGAAAACCCCATCAAACAGGGAGCCAGTCCCAGGGGCCCACGACCTAAACTGGTGGAGGTCAGGAAACACCTCACTGCTGCTTTGGACAGAGGAAACCTCAAGGTAACTGTGGATGTGGAACCGGTAGACAGATTGGCTGAAGTCACCAGTTGTCACTTTGTTTCTTATTTGTTTTACAAATTTCAGTTTCTGTAACATAATTTAATTTCACAGGTTCATGCAAGCACTCAAAATCAGTAGATAGAAATCTGAAGACGGAAACTCAACTCAGCAAATACAAACAAATATTTGAAAGAGAATATGTTTTCATTTTTTACTCTTATTTTGTCCTCTAGGCTGATTACCTTCAGGAAGCCAGCCTGTTGATGGCCAAACTGTGCTATGTGGAGGGAGAATACAGAGACGCTTTAGGTATCATACACACTCCTCTGGTTTGGTTTATTTACTCCTATTTAGTATTTGTGTATGGTATGATGTTATTGATCAAAAAGCATGCTCTGTTGTCTGCACAGATTACTGGTGTACTAATTAATTCATTCATGCATGATTGATATATTAACAGGTCACTACAGCCACGTGAACCTGGACGACATGCAGCTGGGGGGAGCTCCTGTGTATCGGCTGTCCATGATAGCAGAGGCATACGCTACTAAAGGTATAAACACACATATACACACCCAGCCATCGTTTCATGTCTCCCTCCATCAGTTTTGTCAGCCCTAACCTCTGCAGTACGTCTTTACTCCACATGATGGCAGTACACTGTCACTGCTGATAAACAGATCTGGAATAACCTGTGATATGATGAACCACACACAGTCACATAACAAGCAGCTCTGGTCACCGTTGAATAAAAGATATTCATTTCTAGCATTTTCCTTTTTAAATATCATTATGTTCTTATTTCATCCATCTGTGTAACCAAGTGCAGTTTTCATGGGGCAGTTGCAAACTCATTTATGATTGAAAATCAATCATCAGTAGGAGAAAATGATCATCAGAGTGTCAAAAACTAGACCAAACAACTCTAACAGGGTCTTTGAAAAGTCTTAAAATGTCTTCAGTTTCAATTTTATAAAATATTAGGCCTTAAATTTCATTACAAGTTTAGTTTGTGGGGTCTTAATTGCTACAAACTTTGTATCTAATTTAATTTATCCATATTTTAATTCATTTTAGTCAAAATTACTCTGTGTGAAAGTCCACATTTCTGATGTTACAAATCCATAAACCTACTACCAAATTCTTTAATTTAGACTCACATTTACCTGTCTGCAAAATGTAGATTACATACATATACATAAAACTTTCCTGCACATGGATCGGCATATACATTACTTAGCTTCATACTTAACCTGCAATGGTTGAATAAGAGATGATGATCTGTACAAAAATTTGGTTAACATTTCTCTTTAAAAGGTTTTAAAAACAGTAAATTACAAGTGTCTGATATCTGTAGATGCCCTGTCTATCCGATATATGAATGTTTATATACTAATGAATACCAGACAGTGATAACTGACTTGTGGCCTTTGTCACTCTTTGTTTATTCCTTGTCACCCTGAGCTCTCTTTCCGTCTCTCCCCTCAGGACTGTGTCTAGAGAAAGTCCCAGCTGCCTCTCCGTCTCTATCCAATAAGAACACTGGGTCTCCATCATCTAATAGGAGCACAACAGATCGGGAGCAGGAAATCATCACCTGCTATGAAAAGTCTGGAGACATTGCCCTGCTCTACCTGCAGGAGGCTGAGAAGGTATATGTTTGTGTCATGTTATGTTATGTCTCAATCAGACCTCCAGTCTGAGGGTGTGAAATTGGCATACTTGTTGTCTATTGCAGTGTTTTTCTCTGGGTGACACAGAAGCGCTCATCAAATATCTTGTTAGCACCTGGACTCCCAAATGCTCTGCCAATGCCATCCCTGTGGGTGTGTGATGAATACTCTGCTGTCAGTGTGCAAGTTTGACTAATGCATTACCGCCCATGACGGCCAACTGGCAAACAAATGTCTTCCTCTTTATTGGGAGAATGTCTGAGAGGACGCACAGACTGAGCTGGCAAACAACAAGAAACTGCAAAAAAAAAGGCAGGAGGATTCAAATCAAACAGTCCTGACATCAAATTATACTGATATTTCTGTGAGATGATGAGATGAACTCTATGAACTCATGGTTGGATACAGCAGAAGTAAGGTTTATGTAAGGTGTGACAGAAAGTATATAACCTGGATGAAGTCACAAAGTAGATATGGTACAGAGGGACAGAAACATCATAAATTATAGGAATATTTCATAGTCAGGCTGGGTTCAGAGCTGTACATTTCATATATATGTAACAAGTCAAAGAACTGTGAGACATACACTTTATAAATTCCTAAAGCCCACAGTGAAGTCTTCAAGTATACTCAGTTTACTATCACATTATACAAAGAAAAGCTGCAAATCTTCACAACAGAGAAGCTGGTAACAAAGATTTTTTTTTAGCTTTTTGCTTGAAAAACGAGTCGATGATTAATCTGTTATACAAAACAATTACTGACTAATACATCAACACATTGTTGATTGATGAAATGATGTAATTACATGTTCTGAGATCTGACAGCCCTTGTTAGTAACATTTCTCCTCATGTGTGCTCACCAGAGGTGTGGGCATGAGCCACATAATTTGGACTCAAGTCACACTTAAGTCACAGATTTGATAACTTTAGACTCATCTTGACAAAATTGAAGGACTTGCAACCTGACTTAGACTCTAACACCAATGACCTTTGTCTTCACTTGGACATGAGCCTTTTGATTTGAAAATACTTGATTAATTCCCCCACATCCAAAGACTAAAAAGTATGTTATTTGAAAGTGTGTCAGGAATAATTTAATTTCCCTTGAGTCAGCTAACCTTAATTCTGGTCATTCCCAGAAAGTTTACACTTAATTCCCCAGATCCAACAGCATCCAATCAAGCTGCATGATTTGGTGGGTTGTACATCATTGACCACTGGCTGACAACAGCACCACTATATTTTTATCTTTAAAGCAATATTGGGAAAACTTATGGCCTACCTCTGCACCTTTCTGAGATTTCAATTTCAGTGGGACTTCCTGGTTAAATAAAGGTTAGATAAATAAATAAATAAAATAAAGGAGAGAACCATGAAGAACTAATGTTACATAAAAATAATTCCAAAGATAATTTTGTTCACATACAAAAACTACAGAAAAGTCAACCAAAAAAAAACAAAAAACAAATTGCATAATGCAAAACATGCGGGTCTAAAGTTACAGACAGATGCAATATATTCCAACAAACTTGTTTTAACAAAGACAAATTCTGAGAAGCATACATGATTTTCATAAAGTTAATATATTAATCTGTTGTTGAAATGATGTTACATTTGGTGAAGAGCCCATTATAACTTGTTTAAGACTTGAAACTCAAAGTGCAAAGACTTGAGACTTACTTGTGTCTTGCAAAACAATGACTTGGTCCCAACAACAGGTGTGTTTATCAGTCATAGCCTAATTATTATATTCCTATCATAATTTCGACATGACAACACTGGATTATTAATCCAACACAAGAAACAGAAATTCAGGCAGATAAAGTTATGTGTTATTAGTACTGAATAAATGTACATTTTTCATGTAGCTCCTCTTGTACATACTTTATTCGCTGCAGAAGACAGAATCCTGATCATCTGTATCCTGCTTAGTTATCACTTCTCATGCATAAATAAATTGAATTTGTTAAATAGGCCACTGTGGAAATGAAATAGTGTGAGTGAGCCAATTTGAATCTTACTGTCATGAAATTATATCAGTCCCAGTGTTTCCCCTGAGAATTTCCTGTCCAAGATTATACACACAGACTGAATCTGGTCTGTCTCTTATTTACATATAGCTGCTACACTGGTGACTCACCACCACAGCTCATTATTTTTAGTTAACCCTCTTTTCAATTTGTTAGCTGCAGCTGTGCATCAAACATAAAAGCCAATCTTTGGTTCCGCTATGTAAAAGTTTACTGCACTGATGTACATTGACAAATAGTAGTCAGTATTAGTATTTCACACATTATTAATTTAGATCGGCTTTCAGCAAACTTTCAGCAGAATTTTCTCTGCATTTGTTGTAAGCTTTTGTATTTCTTTCTTTATCTCTGTATGTCTGTTTCTGCAGGCGTTGTCAGCTGGAATGCAGAACCGTAGCCCAAAGCCCGGCCCAACTGCCCAGGACCTGGAACTGGGCTACTTCCTGGAGACAGGCCTGCAAAGAGCTCATGTCATCCACTTCAAGAATGGGTAAGAAAGAGTGGTGGCAGATAGATAGGTACATGAGAGAAAGACAAATCAGCGATAGACTGGAGAGGTGCAGTCATTCTAAAACCCCAAAATGGGGAATATTTTAAGAAAAAAAATAGACATGTTTTTGGTTTTTACACTCCTCACTTGGTTTTTACACAAAATCTTTATGCCTCTGTGCTGGCAATAGGTGTCACATCTTGGACTCAAGGATGAAGAGATTGGGTTTTGGTGCTCAAAGGTCACTGTGACCTCACAAAACATATTTTTGGCCATAACTGAGGAATTCATATGCTAATTACGACAGAATTTCACACAAGTACTAATAAGAGAAAATAATGAAGTGATTGCATTTTATATCCAAAAGGTCAAAGGCCAGCTCCACTGTGACATCATAATGTTCTGTATAAAAACACTGTTGTGGCCATTATTCAGCATCACATCTCAGGAGCAGAATGGGAGACATTTGGTCAGATACTAAATTGGTGGCTCTAATCTTGAGTGCCCACCTTGAAACAGCTGATTCCATAGATCTTCTGCTGGATTACAAATGTGTATGAAGCATCCAAGGTTAAAATTTGTGGCTTCTGTGCAGGAACATCCATATCTGAAGCTTTGTCAGCAAAGTCATTGTCTGTGGACCAGCTCCAGACTTTACACCCTATGACATCACAAGTTTGAGTTTTGGCACTCTGGTACTGGGATTTGAGAGAGAGTTGTTAATGTTTATTAATGTTTTTTGGACTGTCTTAGACCATAGAAATAACATGTATGTACTTTGAGGATGGGTGTAGTTCTCCTTTAATACCTTTTTGTTAAACTCCTTTAAAGTCTTCATGTCATGAGTCTGGTCATGGATGTAAACTGCAACCTGACTGGCTGATGTAGGCTTATAGCCGTGAAGCCAAGCGGTAATTCTAGTTTAGTCAGGGCGTCAGTTACCCAAACAGAAACCAAGAACAACCCTTTGTGGGCACTTTCCACCCACTTTGTAGTTAGAAAGCTGTTGACAGGTTGATGAAAGCAGAAAGTGTGAACACAGATAAGTTATACACACAGTGCAGCAGAAAGTAGTTCCCACCATGTTATTGTTTTAACTACAGCAGAGATAGTTTCAAGGCTGTAGCAGAAAGAAATTACTTTTCAGGGGGCTGAATGAAGTCTGTCAAATTTCTTTCTTAGTAGCTTTTCTGTACAGTGCTAGCTGATTGTTTGTGCGATGGCCCAGCACAGAATTAAATATCCTAAAAAACTGACAAACATCAAAGTCCTGAGACATGTGAGCATTTTTGTTGAGGATGTAGTTTGCTTTACATCACCTTAAGACCTGCTTTTTTCTGTATCATCTTGCAATGTGGCAAAGGTGTGGTTCAAAAAAAAACAACTGCCAGTCATGCTACTAAATTTTTATGTTCTCACTGACTCACACGTAGATAGAAACTTGGAAATGTTTTGGACACAGTATGGATAATGCACACGTCTATTTTGAAGTATCTTGCATTCACACTTACACACACTACAGACTCTGACAAGTGTCCTTCTTCCTGTTTCCGTGCTGCATTGCCATAGCAACCTGACACGAGGCGTGGGCCGGTTTCGGGAGATTCTTCGGGCTGTTGAGAACAGGACCACCCAGAGCCTGCGCATGGTGAGGGATGGGATGGGAGGTTGGCTTTTTATTTTGCTCTGACATAAGGAGATGTTTTGATATCACTTCCCTCATGCTTCTCCTCTGGCTTACTTAAAGAAATAGTTTGACATTTTGGGAAATACGCTTATTCGCTTTCTTGCAGAGTTTGGTAGGTCCCTGCTGGTTGCCTGGCAACCTCAGGACGTCCTCACCCAGGCAAGGAGTAGTCTTACCCCCAACTTCTTTACTTAATTTTTTTGTAAGGATTAAACAAAGAAAGTGTGTTAATTAGTGAGTTTTTCAGGTGCTGTTTGGGAGATTTTGTTACTTTTGACCCCCATCTAAAATAAGCTGAGCAGTTGCTGGTGCAAGCTACATATTTATCAGTGGTATTGATCTTCCCATCTAACACTCAGCAAGAAAGCTAATAATAGTATTTCCCAAAATGTCAAGCTATTCCTTTAAAAATGTTGGTGCTTCCCTACTAATACCTAGCTATTTACACTCTGCTTTAACCTGTAAAATTTGAATATGTCCAAGTTTTACAAAAAATTCTCCTCCAGCCTCTTGTCTGTTAGAAACTATAAGGGCTGACCTGAACTTGCGTGCAGATTTCTATTGATGTAAAGCCACCCCAAGCAAGTAGACTTAATATTTGATTCTGTTTGTCCCTGATGATAAAAGAAACCAGATAACAGGCTGTTCAGAGGTAAAATCTTTAACTGTATTCTAATTATATAAGAAGCAAAGTGAGCCCCAAGTAAACAGATTGCTGCTGTGTTGGTGCCAGAGTATCGTTGCCAAATGTGTGTATGTGTATGTTTGTGTCTATGTGAATGCAGACCATAGCCAGACAGCTTGCAGAGATCTTGCTTAGAGGAATGTGTGAACAGAGTTACTGGTCTCCTCTGGAAGACCCACCCACTGTGTCGCCATTGGACGATCCCACACGGCAGGGACACACTCACAGCAAGAACTACAGCCTAAGCCGACGCCCACGGGTGTACTCAGGAGAGAAGTAAGTGATAATGTAAAGTTGGAATACGCGGGGAAAATAGCCAACATGGCTCTAAAAATAGACTGTTGCCAATGTACTTCTTCACCAGCAGCTCTCTTCATCTCCTCCTTATTACCTTTTTCTCAATGTTTCTCCTTCCTTTTCCCTCTCATCCTTGTCCAACTCCAACTTTCTGACACTCTTTGGGCATTTCTCTCTCTCTCAGTCTGTTTTGCCCTCAGGAGAACACAGAAGAAGCTTTGCTGCTGCTGCTCATCAGTGAGTCCATGGTAAGACACAAACAGTCTTTGGAAAATGTTTCAGACCCCTCTCTAAAGCCCTGGATCCTCAACTCGGGTTTGGAAACTTTGAAATAATGCCATTTTTACATTTATATGTATGTTTCAGGCTAACCGTGATGCTGTCCTGAGCAGAATCCCCGAACACAACAGTGATCGTATCATCAGCTTGCAGTCTGCCTCTGTGGTGTACGACCTGCTGACTATAGCTCTAGGCAGGAGAGGGCAGTATGAGATGCTGTCAGAGGTGAGTAATCCCTCTCTGGGATGCGTAGTCACAATGTGAAAAGTGTTAAAGCCCACACCTATAGTACACCCACATATAATCACGCTTTAATTGTTTTCACATTTCCCCAAACAAATAAATGTTTTATTACAATCCAATTGGCTCTAAAATGGCTGTACAACTTGACAAAGCTTACAGAAACCCTGAATGTGGGAATTAAATGTGCCCTGACTATGATGTCTCTAGTGTTTGGAGAGAGCCATGAAGTTTGCCTTTGAGGAGTTCCACTTGTGGTACCAGCTCGCCCTGTCGCTGATGGCAGCTGGGAAATCAGCTCGTGCCGTTAAGGTCCTTAAGGAGTGTATTCGGCTGAAGCCAGACGACCCCACCATCCCACTGCTGGCTGTCAAACTATGTATCGGCCCTCTCCACTGGGTAAGAATAGTTGCTGAAGTATCTTAGCATCTTAGCATTTGCTCTGGTAATGCCCTCCCCTGAACACCTGTATTTTTTTAAGTCATCCTATTCTAGTCTGAAATCTCTTTTTTTCTCCATTCTCTCTCATTATATATCTGTCTACTCCCACAATCCAGTTGGACGAGGGGGAGTGCTTTGCAAAGATGGTGATTGATATGGGGGAGAAAGCAGCTGAGTTCAGAGCCAAAGGCTTCTTGGCCATCGGGCTGGTTTACAGCCTTAAAGCCACTGATGGTAGGTCTCTGTGTGCATGTGCTCTTGTACAAGGGCGTAGGTTTCGTTTTAATATTTTTTTGGGGGGGGGGGGGGGGGGGGGGGGGGGGGGGGGGGGGGGGGGGGGGGGGGGGGGGGGGGGGGGGGGGGTACATATGAAGCAATGGGTTTGGGGATTCTCCACCAGAAAATTTTGAGCATCAAACACTTAGTTTACATTCAGACCACAGATAAATCAGAATTGCTTCTTCAATCAAATCCTGAAGACAGACCATCCACACTGTTACTTACAAGTTTCAGATCAGATTTCTGTGTCTAGACATCACCAGCCTATCTGCATGGGTTGCTGTGGTAACAACAGGTGTCAGTAACTGCGTAGTTACGCTGGTGACACAGCTTTCCATCATTTCGCCCCCCAAACAATTTATTTTGATGACTGTCCATGGCATGTTGCTCCTCATGTTGTCCTCTTGAGCGCTGTGCTTGTAGTAGCATGGATCTGCTCAGCACTTCTGTCACTCTGGATTTGACATAGTTGTCGTGTGTTGTGTCAAAGACATTTGAAATTCGAATTGAGCAACCAGAGTGTCTGGACTGAGACACATCTGTAAAAGCACCTTCAAATATGGTTTGGATCAGATTTGCAAAAATAGTATTAATGTGGTTTTTTCATGTTCTTAAAAAATGAATTCCCTCCAAATCTACAGGTATGCTCTTGTACATCCCTGACAAGAAACGATGACAGTCAGGGACACTTTAGCATTAGGATTAAAATTTCAGTTAGCGTGGGGCACCCAATAGCTCAGCGGGTAGAGTGGGCATCCAAGTACAAAAGCTATGTCCTTGCCGTAGCGGCTGTGGGTTCAATTTCAGTCCACAGCTCTTTGCTGCATGTCATCCCCTCTCTCTCCCCCTTCGCTCTTCAACTGTCGTATCAAATAAAGGCAAAGCCAAAGAAAATCTTTTTAAAAAGTTAGCAGTTAGTGTGGCACACACAAGTAGAAAACTTGGGAGATTGCCGTAAGTCACGTATCTCATGTGAAATTTAGAAAATAATCCAGACAGAGCTTGCATCAGTTTTTATTGCTCATTCTCTACGTGATGTTTTCACATATCGACACATCAAGACTTCACATACTACATTAAATATTGTTGTTGTTTGCCTCCACTGACTGTAGCACTACTTGTATTCTTGTATAATGTGCCTGACTGCATTCTGTCTTTCTCCTTCTGTCCCTCACTCTGTCTCTCTGCATCTCTGTAGCATCATTGCGAAGCACACAGGAGGAGTACCAGAGGAAAGCTTTGGGAGCCTTCCAGAGGTTGGGACTGAGCCATGCTGTTCTCTGTTTTCTCTTTCACACCCACATCTCCCTCAGAATTATTTTGTCACAGCAAAAAACTGCTTCTCTGTCTAACAAAATGGGAACTATTTTGAATTTAGCACCTTATCAATCCATTGTGTTTACCTGTATCAGTTGAACCCCATGTCTGTTAGCACAGTTTCTCATCTGTGAGGGTTTTATTGAAACCTGTACTTTAAATATTAATACTATTCACATAAATGTGGTTATTCCTCCTGGAGTGTACCGTAAGTTTTATAATGATGCAATATATCTTATCATGTTTTATATTCCACCATCATGCTTATTAATATGGTGTCACAGTTTTGAATTGTGTCTAAATGTTTAAATATTCTCTGGTTTGATTTCTTACACGCACTATTACTTTGCTCTCTTTACTGCCCTTTTACTGTTCTGCTACTGCAGAGACCCAATTTCCCCACAGGGATCTTTAAACTTTCATGTAATCTTATTTAACTTTTTATTCAGCATGTCTGAACACACAAAATATCTTTCTCTGTAGAGCTCAGAGTCTGTCTCCCACTGACCATCTAGCAGCGTTCTACTTGGCCCTGCAGCTTGCCGTGTCCAGACAGGTAACACAGTCTACAGTAATAATAAGAGCTTAATGTACATATCAAAAGCATGGATACTGGACAGTGAAAGTCAGAAAACATTAGGAAGTTACACATCTGTCGCTTTACATGCTTGTACTCCAGCTATAGTGAAAACCAGTAGTTTGTGTGTGTGTGTGTGTGTGTGTGTGTGTAGATCCCTGAGGCACTAGGCTATGTACGACAGGCGTTGCAGCTCCAAGGGGATGACGTCCACTCCCTTCATCTGCTGGCCCTGTTGCTCTCTGCTCAGAAACACTACCACGACGCTCTCAATATTATAGAGATGGCTCTGTCCGAGTACCCTGAAAACTTCAAGTGAGTCTCACACGCTACCACAACACTCCATTTAAAGCTAACGCAAAGTGTCTTTTATTTCCGTGTCATCTTGTGTGTTGTGTATTGCAGTCTGCTGTATACCAAGGTGAAGTTGGAGTCTATGTGTAGAGGACCAGAGGAAGCTCTGCTCACATGTAAACACATGCTGCAGATCTGGAAGAGCTTTTACAATCTTACCAACCCCAGGTACACACACACACACACACACACACACACACTCTCCCCAAATGCAAATACCAGTCCTGATATTTGTTTTGGTTTCATTCATTCAAACTAGTGATGTACTAAATCAGGTTGCACCATTACAACTTAAAGGAGCAGGGTGATTTGTTGGCAGCAATGGAATACAACATTCATACTTATGTTTTCATGGGTGTATGACAACCTGAAACTAGGAACCATTGTGTTTTCCTTAGTCTAGAAAGTGCACTTCATACCAACATCTGCAGCGTGTCCTCTTCATAGAGCATGCCATGTTTCTACAGTAGCCTGAAATGGTCATAACAAACACTAGCTCTAGAGAGGGCCTTTTATGTTTATACTATACCCGCCAACCACATCACCATGCAGAAGGAAGCGTGCATCTGCTCATGCACAAGAGGCTCGTGCCTTTCACGGTGTGCAATGTAAACATTAATTGTGTCCTCATCTGTAAAACTGTAATGTTAGGTTGCTCAGTGATGCTAGGTGAGCTAGTAGTAGATGATGCTGACTTCTGCATGATGATACAGTGGGCAGGTGTGGTTCGGTAGAAAGAAAATAGTTCCTATGTCAAACTGCTCACAAGAAGGTCTGCGGATTATGTTGAGTAACTGGGTCATGATTCTTGGAAAGAGACATTGCTGTTGAGTTTTATGAACATATTTTTTGGTGCTTTGAGCATCACAAGTGGAGTGCCATCTAGTTCCGTTACACTGGAGAGAAAGCAGACATCTCAGCACTCTGCAACTCACACCAAAATGCAACAAGACAGGTAAGAGTAAAGATATGTATTTTTAATTCTGGGGGAGAACTGACCCTTTAACCTATGCTATTTAGTCATTTAATCGAACAGTGTTGCGCTTTTTTATAATTCAAAATATAATTTTATTTTTGTAAAATGGCGTTTAACATCTTCTAATCTAGTTTACATCCTTATTAAACAGCACTTTGATCAAGGGTCGTGTCAGATATCTTGGCCATATTTCATATTGCATCTTTTAGTCTTCAGTCTAAACAGGTCATACATATACTAGTGTGCTAACGTAGCAGTTAAACCTGGCAGTTGCTGGGTGTTAATATTAAGTAACAACTAATCTCCACCTAAGAACTAGTTTGTGTGGTGCAACCAATTTTAAATGTAGTGATGTGTAAATCTCCACTTAGTTAACACTTTTGTCATATCTCGGCTAAGTTTGAACTTGGTAAGAGCTTCTGTTGACTGAACTAAAGCTTAAACTAAAACAAAACGATAAACTACATGGTTCAATGGTGTTCATTATGTCTTCAGTTTCTGACAATGACTTTAGTTCTTTTATCTCAGACATGTGTTAGGATGTTACATACATTGAGATGTTTTGGCGGAAACTTACGCCTTTCTCAGAAGCATCACTTGGTGGTGGTTGTGACACATCTTTATCAGCTGTTCTGTCAGCTGATAGGGATAAAGTTTCCGCCGAAACATGTCAAGGTATGTAACATCCTAACACATGTCTGAGATAAAAGATAAACTCAAGTCATTATGATAAACTAAATGGTTGTATCTATCAATCTGTTGCTTTTGGCAAACATGTTTGCTTATATTAATGCAAAAACACTGCAGCTCAGGTGTTGTTTTGTCTGTCTGTGTTTGTATATGTGCCTGTGTGTAAACACGTGTCTATGGCAGTGATTCTGGGCGTGGCAGCAGTTTGTTGGACAGAGCCATAGCGGACAGACGACAGCTCAACGCCATGACTCTGCCTGACTTCAGTGACCCAGAGACTGGTAGGCACACACACACATGCACACATTCACTCCTACTCAGGAACCCTTCGAGATCTCCACCCAGAAACTGAGATTTTTTTAATAAACATGATTCATTTCTCTCTTCTAACTGTGACCCTATTACCTCTTTTTGTACTTGCCAATTATGATTTGATTATGAAAATGGCATCAAGAAGGAGAAATGGCTTCCTCTATCTTGTTTTTATATTAATCAATTCTTCCTCATATCTACAAATATCAGAGAAAACCTTTCCCACTCTTTGTTTTATTTATTCCAGCTCCAATATTACTTGAGTAACTTTCTTTTTCTTTTCTTTTTTGTTTCTATTTGATACGTTGCTGCTTTATCTTGGAGTTATCGTGACACTAGTTGTCACGAAAATTATAAATGTTCCAATGTGAATGAGAATTTTAGAGATACTGTTTAAAGCATATGCAGATTGAGAACCAGTGACTTCCCTTTCTTTATTCCTTGATTAATTTAACTCATTTCTGTTTTATTTCCTTTGTTTGTTTTAGTCTCAGGTTCTTCCTCTTCTCACTCCGGTTCTGAACCGATCTCCCCCACCTCCCCGTCCACCATTTCCACCTTCTCCACCTTCTCTTCCCTCTCCTCCCCACTGTCCTCCCCTTCTTCCCCCGTCTTCATTCTTCAGCCTCCTCCTCTCCCTCCACCCAAAAATCCATCCTTCCTCCCTCCTGGCCCTCCTCCACCCCCTCCTCTTCTTCCTCCTCCTGCGCCCACCAAGACAAGGACTCACTCCTTTTGCAACCACGTCGCTCTTCGACAACTCTCCTCCAATAGTAATCCACCTCCACGTCCACCCGGCCTGTAGCATGGTGTGGAGAGTGAACTAAAAGAATACAGCGAGTTGTTGGGAGATTGGCTTATTGATTAACTTGTGTGTTAAGTAACAAGAGCATTCCCAGTGTGTGTTTTTTTTACTCTGGTGCTCTGTGTTAAAAATATTAGCCTACAACCAGTATCCCAAGTAGAAGGCTAACCTTTCAGTACATAGTCAAAAATCAGAAAATGAGAACTCTCTGATGTAGGATGTTTTATTACATTATATGTATTTGTATTTCATATTTTAAATATATTAAAGCACTCACTACATCAAATAGGAAAGTGTAATCTAAGTATTATGTTATCACATTATATAGTTTCAGTGCTGCTCTGTTGCTAGGGCAACAGCTTTGGTCCCTGTTTACTTCCCGTTGGCTAACAAGGAAACTATAACCTTTAATAGGTTCCTTGTCAGCTGCTGCATATAAAACATTACAACAGGATATACACTTAGACCCATTTCCAGTGTGCGTGTAATCAAGTTTGAAATGTTGTATAATGACAAACCTTCTTCTGTAGCAACTCAACAGTGAGTTTGTTATAGTTCTTTCATATGATATTAGTGAAATATTGTAGAGAGTGTCCAGAGTTTCTCCAGCTAACAAGGAACAGATTTGTCTACCAGTCACAGGTGCTGCTGCAATCTGCAGCTTCCTATGCAGAATATAGTTGGCAGAATATTCTTAAAACACCCATATCAGGATCACCACACCCAGTCTGGTGTTACTGGCCTTTGCTGCTAGTTTACTACAGGAAAATAAGAAGATTAGAAAAAGATTTTACGTAGCCTATTCTCAATAAGATTTTAGACAAGGTGAATGTTAAAGATATACTATGCAGGATTTTCCTAAAAAATAAACTAGAGACTTATACAAGTAATCCCTCTCACTCACTCATCACTAATGACCCCATAGAAGTGTGTTGCAATGTATTTGTTTGCAGAGACTCTGCCCTCTACTTTCTTATTTTCTTCTCATTTGTTTATGGGTGTGTACCCCCACAGCACTCAGGTAAGATCAGAGCTTTATAAAAAGGAAGCGACCAGCTATCCGACCGTAAACAGCAGCCCTCTAAAAGACACAGTGTCAAAAAAAGCAAGTATAGTAAGGAAAAATGCCAAATGAGAGTGAATCAGGTGTTGGCTTTTACTCTCTTTGGCAAGCATGTTTACAGATAGTAACCGCCAATCCTGCACAGTATATACCTTCCGATTTGACTTGTTGTCTGAACCTCACAAGCATGGACCATGTGTTTAAAACTAAACTGACTAACCCTACAGAGTACTGGATGTGTTTCACAGGCACACCTAGTTCTCAGCCCTGCTGCATGTTACCATGTAAAACAAATGCTCTGGTTGTGGATAAGAGTGCAATTGAGCCTTGATGGATTTGATGCAGTTGCTTTGCGTTTTTTGCGACTTACTTGAGGTCCCGGTGAACTTACTCACATGACGCACCCACGTTTGAACTCCACACTCGCAGTTAATACAGCCAGGATTTCGAGATCAGTTGGGTTCTTTTTTGATATTACAGAAGATTGTTTTACATACAGTACAGGCCAAAAGTTTGGACACACCTTCTCATTCAATGCGTTTTCTTTATTTTCATGACTATTTACATTGTAGATTCTCACTGAAGGCATCAAAACTATGAATGAACACATGTGGAGTTATGTACTTAACAAAAAAAGGTGAAATAACTGAAAACATGTTTTATATTCTAGTTTCTTCAAAATAGCCACCCTTTGCTCTGATTACTGCTTTGCACACTCTTGGCATTCTCTCAATGAGCTTCAAGAGGTAGTCACCTGAAATGGTTTCCACTTCACAGGTGTGCCTTATCAGGGTTAATAAGTGGAATTTCTTGCTTTATCAATGGGGTTGGGACCATCAGTTGTGTTGTGCAGAAGTCAGGTTAATACACAGCCGACAGCCCTATTGGACAACTGTTAAAATTCATATTATGGCAAGAACCAATCAGCTAACTAAAGAAAAATGAGTGGCCATCATTAACTTTAAGAAATGAAGGTCAGTCAGTCCGGAAAATTGCAAAAACTTTAAATGTGTCCCCAAGTGGAGTAGCAAAAACCATCAAGCGCTACAACGAAACTGGCACACATGAGGACCGACCCAGGAAAGGAAGACCAAGAGTCACCTCTGCTTCTGAGGATAAGTTCATCCGAGTCACCAGCCTCAGAAATCGCAAGTTAACAGCAGCTCAGATCAGAGACCAGATGAATGCCACACAGAGTTCTAGCAGCAGACCCATCTCTAGAACAACTGTTAAGAGGAGACTGCGCGAATCAGGCCTTCATGGTCAAATAGCTGCTGGGAAACCACTGCTAAGGAGAGGCAACAAGCAGAAGAGATTTGTTTGGGCCAAGAAACACAAGGAATGGACATTACACCAGTGGAAATCTGTGCTTTGGTCTGATGAGTCCAAATTTGAGATCTTTGGTTCCAACCACCGTGTCTTTGTGAGACGCAGAAAAGGTGAACGGATGGATTCCACATGCCTGGTTCCCACTGTGAAGCATGGAGGAGGAGGTGTGATGGTGTGGGGGTGTTTTGCTGGTGACACTGTTAGGGATTTATTCAAAATTGAAGGCACACTGAACCAGCATGGCTACCACAGCATCCTGCAGCGACATGCCATCCCATCCGGTTTGCGTTTAGTTGGACGATCATTTATTTTTCAACAGGACAATGACCCCAAACACACCTCCAGGCTGTGTAAGGGCTATTTGACCAAGAAGGAGAGTGATGGAGTGCTGAGGCAGATGACCTGGCCTCCACAGTCACTGGACCTGAACCCAATCGAAATGGTTTGGGGTGAGCTGGACCGCAGAGTGAAGGCAAAGGGGCCAACAAGTGCTAAACACCTCTGGGAACTCCTTCAAGACTGTTGGAAAACCATTTCAGGTGACTACCTCTTGAAGCTCATGGAGAGAATGCCAAGAGTGTGCAAAGCAGTAATCAGAGCAAAGGGTGGCTATTTTGAAGAAACTAGAATATAAAACATGTTTTCAGTTATTTCACCTTTTTTTGTTAAGTACATAACTCCACATGTGTTCATTCATAGTTTTGATGCCTTCAGTGAGAATCTACAATGTAAATAGTCATGAAAATAAAGAAAACGCATTGAATGAGAAGGTGTGTCCAAACTTTTGGCCTGTACTGTATTACGGCTTTACTGTCTCTTCACATCTCTTTGCTTCTCCCACCTGATTTTCTCTGGATTTTGTTACTATTTTGCATCCCCCTCCTTTCTCTCTCTCTCTCTCTCTCTCTCTCTGTGTTTCTGTGAGGATTTTACATTTGAGCCAACATTAATTTGTCTTGTGTCCCAGTTCCAACCTTATGTTGTCTCTCCTTGTTGCCATCTCCTCTACTAATGATGCTTGCACTGGAAAATAAAGGTTGTTATGTAGTTAAATTATTTAGCTGCATTATAAAATTACAGTTGTTGTTTTTTATCTCCAGAACATGGTTTTTCTCAGTCAGCCTGACAACAATTATATTATTCAAAACCATGAAGATAAGTCCATCACAGTGGTCACAGTTACTGAAAAGTTGACTTGATTCTTTTGTTTCTGCATTTGTTTACTACTTTGGTGAGTGAGCACTTTTTTGCGTCCATTGTCGGTCAATTAAAAAGCTTTTTGAGGTAATCTCTGTGGATATGAGTTATAAAGCAGAGAAAGATGAGCAACTGTCATGCTTTTAGTTAATTAAACTTTAAGGTAAAAGTGCACCTTTGCTGGTAGGTGAAGCATTTATTTGATCAGATTAAATTGCACAAGTGGAAGCAGCTTGTCTCATGCGATGTGGTCTAAAAGGTGACTATAGGGAATACATGCTCTGCAGTCTTCCTTTCCGGAGTTCTTCTTTTTATCGTAATGATTTGGATATCTCTTCTCTGTCTCTTCCTCTCTTTCAATCATTAACAATCGTCTTTCTGTTTTTTTCCCATCCCTCCTTTTTCTCAAGGCGGCCTTCAGGACGCTAACACTCTTGGTTTTTCCTCCATGTTTTCTGTTTGTAAGTAGCCATCTAACCTCCATCTGACCCTCCTTTTCCCATCCATTGTTCTGTCCATCCTTTGGTCCGTGTCGACCTTCCTTTTTCCCAACAAGGTTCCAATATATGTACAATATCCGGACAAAATATGTACATATATCCTCCGCTTCAACTTAATGTCTGCAGCCAGTTTCCAGGAGAAGTGTACTGAATTTCTGTCAGGTTGATGGTATAGGATTTAAAGGAATACAACGACTTAAAGGAAATACAGTGTTGTGAAAACACATTCTTCAATTTGCCCGAAGAAAGCGATTAGAAAGTATTTGGGAACAAACTTTGGATTTTGTTGTAGAGCTTTTGGAATGACTAACAACACATTGAGTTTTAAAAGGCAGATGAAGGTACCATTTCGGACGTGTTTATCCTTTTCAGTAGAGCAAAAGAGAGAACAAATGCTCACAGAGCAACAGCAGAAAGGAGAGAAAGGCGCAGCTCCCTGCATGGACTACTGATCATCTGTGAAATGAAGCTGTAGTATTGCCAAATACTAACTTTACTGACAGCATGAGAAAGAAGTTACGAATGATCTCAACGGTTTACAGCAATTTTACCAAAGTTGTGTAATCCATTGATATTTAACAAGCCATTGTGGAATGAGGGAAACCCCACTGAGAATCTTGTTTAAGAGAAATATGTGTAATATTTTCCGGATTTAGTTGGTTTTACTGCCGTTTATACTAACACTTGAGCTCAGTGGACATACTTTATGGATACAAACTCTTGCTGCTGTTAAAATGTGCATTACACTGAGAACACAGAGGGAAACCACACCCTAACCATTTTATGATGTGGTGATTAGTGGCATTTTTCCCAGTAAGTCAGTGTATTCCTTTAATGGAGTGAGCAGCTTCAGTGCATGTGTTGCTGTGTTAACTGTCCACATGTTAGGCACAAACCACAACAGGAAGCTTCCTCATAGTCTGTTAGCAATTATGTAGATGTCACTGAGTGAAAACCTGTTTCTATACAGTCATTAAAAACTGAAGTCTCAAGGTTTTGTCTTACCTATTTATTTATTTTTGAGTTGAGTTGAATATTAGGGACACAAAATGGTGTAAGTGAAAGCAATCCATATGAATCATATACGCAGCACCACTTCTGTTCCTCTTTCTCCAACTGTTTGCCTGACTAATCACTGACTGGAAAGTATTTTATTCTTTCACTGTCAAGGCCATGTTCCTGTATGAGATATAATCCTAAAGGTACATGATGAGAACAGTGTTAGCAAAAGGGGTGGATGTATGGAAAAAACAAGTTGGACATAGATGAATGGGGAGATTGGTGAAAAGCCTCAACTCAGCAGACAGTTTCCTTTAACCTTTGAGTAAGTTGGCAGACAGATACATTTTTAGACGATGACTTTGTCACGTTGTCACTAAGCAAAAAAGTTATTTAGAATTTCAGTCTGAGTTAAATGTAGGAAACAGTAGGTGTTGTCTTGTTTCAACATACTGCAACATGAATGAGCTTGACTAGGCTGGGCTGCTGCATGGTGGCTTCTAATATATTACTTCTTACAATAAGCCCTTCAAACCAGGATGCTCAGCTTCAGATTTCACAAATGTGTTGTGTGTGAGAAACAGACATCCTTTGCTCGTTTCCCTCAAGCCACTTACCAGCAGCACATTCTTGCTTCCACAAAGACAGGGTTTTAACATCCACATCTTTTCTTTTTTATCCCTATCTCAGTCATATTTTACACATGGGTACTTCCTGTCCCTTAACACACAAACACACACTTCATATCAGTGTAGTGGAAGGAAGAAAAGTATTTTGGAGTTTAGACCACACCGTAGGAGACCAGAATAATAAAAGAAGGGGATGGGAGATGTTTTATTAAAGTAAAGCTTTTATTCCAGTGAGTTGCGACCATCAGTCATTTTTAATTTAGTCCACATTTAGGATATAAAAGCCACATATTTTTGTTATCTAATCCCTTCAGGCTGCAATTGACATGACTTGTATAAAACAAAACAAGCCCAACATGAATATGCTTTCTAACACATTTAAGCCCAACACTGTCTTTATTTTTCTCAGTATTTTAAGAAATGCATGGCATTATCAGTAAGTATATTTTACAGGAAACAAAATTCTTTTTAAAAATGTTATAGAATTGCTTTTACAATTTTAAATTGATCAAAATCAAAGTAATGCATAATATTTATTTGTCAATATTTATCAGCTGAATTATTACATTTGGACATTTTTGTCAAAAATGGTTAGACGGTTTTAGACATATTTTGCTCATCATTAGAATCAGTCTTTATTGACACTGAAAAACAATATATGATAGCACACAATAGAAACAGGTAATGGAAGATAAAAGGCAATTCAAAAATATTAATGTATTTTTTACATAACGGTAGAAGGATATGATAATATGTGAAAAATATAACTGCAGTATACAACGCAGACATTGTGTTATGTGTTGCTTTCACAGTTCTGCAGAGTACATCTGCGGCCCCATGTGGTGGCCATTTTGCGTCCCTGTAATAATGTGATGTAATTTAAATGCAGAGACAAAATCCAAGACACACTTCTGTCAATTACTAATCAGCAGAGTGCAGATTGATGCGGTGTTTATGCATGGTGGTGCAGAGATTAATTCATTTTAACCTGGTTAATCCAGGGCCATAACACTGTGTGTCGCAGCGTGTGGAATGGTGTGGACTGATTAAAGGCTTTAGTGCAGGAACAGGAAACTATGTGCCAATGTGGGCCCAGAGTTTTGAGCTTTTAACTGCACCCAAACACTCCAGATTTCACTGATAAGTTCCTCTGTTCTGTCTGAAGTCGTGGCGATCAGTGAAATATCCTGTTGTGTTTGGTTGGATTAAAACCCTGCATTGTGGCACATGGCTGCTGTAGTGGTGAGTCAGTACCTGTTGGAGATGGTGTGTATAATGGTCTGATTCTCTCCCACCAGGCTCGGTTCATGCTACATCTATAGCAGCCAGTCGTGTAGAGCAGGCTCTGTCTGAGGTAGCCTCCTCTCTGCAGAGCAGCGCCCCCAAACATGGACCCCTGCACCCCTGGATGACCCTGGCTCAGATCTGGCTGCATGCAGGTATGCACACACACCATATATAACGTTAAATACATGGAACAGATAAAGGCACAGGGCTGGTATTAATGCTTTATTTTAAAAAGAGGTTTTGGTATTTCTGTTCAAAGAGGGTTTACAGAGAAAGGAAGACTAGCTGAGGTAATGATTGTGGCTCCTGTCTGACCACAGCCACATAAAAAAATTATGTTGAAACATATATTCTGATGTAGGTGGTTGAGTTTTAATGCCCTAAAAGGATTACTGTGAGTTCCAGTGGGTTCAGAGTTTTAACATCCTGTTGGTATCATGTCTCTGTGGTTTTGATGAGGGCACATCATGTAACATTTGACCTATCTGAAAATGTCCCGGAACACGCCTGCGGTCATGTGTGTGACACATCAGTCAACAGACTTGTAAACGTACAGTAGGTCCTGTAATGCCTTGCTGACTCTATTAGATGGTAGGACGTTACTGTAGCTTGATGTTGGTAAATAACGTTATCAGTGTGAGTTAGAATACAGTGACAGTTCTATCAGAATGACTTTGATCTGTGACTCCCAATAAAGGGTGACACAGGAGTGGATTTTTACTTGTGCGTATTTTTATAAAAACCGACCTTTGGTTATAGTGACCTCCATCCTACCTGCTACCGTTGTGTTTTCCTGTCCAGTCATGTCCCGTCATGTCCCAGTCATGTGATAAATACTGAAACTGACTCCCATCCCGTGGGAATCCCACAGGAATCCTGTGACCCACAGGAAAAAAAGTCAGCCTCTAGTTCACGTAAAAAAAAAAAAACAAGACGTGCACATCTCAGTGTCCATGGAAATGGCAATTACAGTGAAGAAATATCTGGCAGAGTAGAAACAAATAGATAGAGGGATTTTATTGCTGCAATGTTTCAAGCCCTTGCTTGAAATCTGAGGAAGAGTTGCTGGCTAGAAATGTTACTCACTATTAAAATCCTTACATACAGGACTTCTTGGTGTGCGGGCTGATTTGTTTCCACTCAGCCTCTAGTTCCCAACGTGGGTATTGGGACTACTCCAAGGGTTCCCGAGATAAATCTAAGGGGTCACCAGACTTGGAGGAACCAAGAAAAGAGTTTGTTACAAACATAAAATGTAATTTATGGAATGTATTCACCTCCTCAGACCCTCAGAATCCGTGAAATAAGTGAAATACTGAATACTTTCATCTATTCAGGCCTTTAAAATCCTTCAAATAAGACAAAGAAGGCAAAATCACTGCTGGTGAGCCATGATGACACTAAAAAGGCCTTAACCTGTGAAGTAATGGTCAAAAGCAGCCATTGCTTCATTTTAAAGCGGTGCAAGATAAAATGGCTGGGAACTACTGATTTAGATGGATGTGTAGTGCAAGCCCCAGCACAGACAGTGTCTCAAAGGATAAAAAATAACAGCAATTATTTCATCTGCCTTTGCAAATGAGGAGGAGATCAAAGCAATTTTTGCCACCTAGTTCTGCTAAGAAAAGTAAAGTTATATTTTCAGGACATTTAATCCACAGAAGGTGTTTTTTTACACTTAGAATATATAAATAGCTTTCCATAAGGCAGTAATATAAAGCGTTTGGCTGGTGAAACTGTGTATTCCAAACTAAATATAATATGATGCATACATGATCTTTCTGCTACCTTAGATGTCTTCAAACAAACTGTAGTGAGTGTACTGGCATTAGCTTGTTGGACTGTATATAACAGCAGTTTGACAGCCTTTACAATCACAGCAGATTAGATTACAGTTGGAGTACACTCAAGCCCTGCTTCTCATTTCTGCATCACTAACAGACACAAACATAAGCAGACTGAAAAGTATACATAAACACACACACACACACACACACACACACACACACACACACACACACACACACACACGTAGACAGAGGTTGTTTGTGCTCCTGTTTATCTGTCCAGCTGCTTCCTGTCAGAGGTGGTCATTTCCAGCTTGGCGACACAGCTAATATAATCATCCAATCACAGCACAGACAAGCAGACGGTTCAAACTCATTTCCTGTCTGTCTCATTCTTTGTTTGCATCTTTCTTGCTCTCCACGCGGACTGCATTAGGTGTCCTTGATACTGAAAATGTTTTAATGCTATCTGAGGGAGGAAAAATAGAGTTTTGCTTTCTCGTTGCTTTCTCTCTCCTTTTCTGCTTTTCTGGTTTGCAAAATTCAACATTTCCCTCCATCTCTGTTTGTGGCTACTAATTTTAATGCATCATTTTAGTTTGAGAGGTTTAAAAATGTTATTTGAGACGGGGCAGCTTCTTTTTTGTAGCACACAACGGCAGCGATTATGGGAAATGCAGCCTTAATTTTATGAGATGCTGTCAGTTATATTCACAGTTACATAGTTTGTTTTCAATAATTACACTGAGTTGTTAGTTGATTCAGCAAGGATACTGATGTTTGACACTGCTGCAACTTGCACATTTTGGTATCACAAAAAAAAAAATTGGGTCATGTTTGCAATCTCTCCTCTCCTGTGTGTGCCTCTCCGACAGCTGAGGTGTACACGGGAATGTCCAAGCCCGCCGAGGCCACAGCCTGCACGCAGGAAGCCTCCAATCTCTTCCCCACATCCCACAACGTGCTGTACATGAGGGGGCAGATAGCCGAGCTGAGGGGCAACATAGACGAGGCCAAACGCTGGTATGAAGAGGCCCTTTCCATCAACCCCACGCATGTCAAGACCATGCAGAGACTGGTAATACACTAAACACACACACACACACACACAATGATCCTCTTCAGCTCTGTCCTTTGGTCTCCTGAGAACATAAATCTTGTCCTGTCCGCCTGCAGCACAGCCTGAATGTTTGTGTGTTTTATGTAATCAGCCATAATCCTGTGGGACAGCCCCATTAGACCTTCTGTGTGGAGAGGGAACAGTGTCTTCGTCTTTTGATCTCTCTGCACTCCTCTGACTCTTTCTTATTGGTTCAGTCCCATTTGGAGCTCTACACTCTCTGCCTCTGCTTACATATTCACTTGGAGGATTGAATCACCCATCAAGGACCGTCCCAAACTGGTTATTGTGGACGATAGAGTGGACTATAAAAGTCTCCGAGAGCCTGTTTGCATCAGTGCTGACCTACCTCGCTCCACTCTTCCAAAATGTAATGAATGAAAGATTTTATGAGTGTATCATGCACATACAGTAACTATGCTCAGCCTGCATGGGTTTACAAGACACCACAAATTCATATAAGTCAGATTCAGAAGTGTGCAGTTTTCATACAATACTACAAAAGTCAAAAAAAAAATTGAGGGTTTTTCACAGTCAGACTTTCAGTTCAAAAAGATATACAAAAAAAGAATCTCTGTGATGTACAGAAATGAGGAAGAGGAATGTAAAGCACACTAAAGGCGATGTGTTGTCATTAGTTTTCCTTGTCTTTGCACATTCTGGATTGGGTGGTGTTGTTGATTATATATGCATGTATGAAGTGAATGAACAGAGTGGTTTAGTTGCAGGAATGGGCACTGGTGCAGCGAGTTGGTTTGTGAGATTAAATGTGTATTGATGGATTATGGTAGAATAGGGTAAGGACTAGACAAGCTGTTTGCTCCTTTCTACTCATTTTCAGGCATGAAATATTGCGTATTAAAATTCAGCTGTATGTGTTCACCTTTATTTATTGGTTTCTTTTCATGGTTTTGTTTACATAGTATTTTATTTTATTATCTTTTTAAATCTTTGAAATAACTTAAATTCAATTCACTTCAGAAATCACTCATGGATGAGACATTAGAATACTACCTGAAGAGTTTATCTTGCTTTTTTCCCCAGACTTTTGAGACCAAATGTGTTCAAGGATTTGACACAAAATGATCACATGCACATTACAAACAAATGAAACTCACTATCCACTTCACAGAGCTCACATAATCACACAGTGATGATGTAACAAATGATTCGGGGCCATACTTTTGTTTAAAAAGCATTTAGAGTGTCCTTAATTTTGGTCAAACTTGAATCAAAGCTCTGGAGAATGGAGGAAGCATAACACAAATTTAAGTTTCAACAGAGAACATGTAGTAGTTTAGTCAGTCCTATGCGCTGTTTAACTCACAAGGCCTTATTGTTGATTTTTACAAAAACAAAATATGTAGGAAGCTTAAAACCAAAAGGGGAATCCACCACTTCATTAAATTCATTTGACTTGTATACCCATAAATCCATTCTTAAGTTAATACATACTGTCTATTTCCTTCATGGATTATAAACATTTACAAGGGAAAGCTTGAAATGTACTTGAATAACTGAACGAGTTTAAGCATCATATATGGACACCTGTTATAGAATATGTGGCTCTATCACAAAGGATATGGTCGATGAAAATAGTGCAGCTCAGTGATTTACTTTCTGCAATAAAATGGAGTTGTACTTTACAGAACAATAACAATGGTAAAGGTACAAGTAAGAAGACGGATTGTTGCTGTAAGTAGTTCCCATTAAAGTGTCTCTAAATTCCAACAAGAACAGTCACCACCAGCACGACTGCCTTAAACTGAGTTAAAATGCAGAGCAGTACACATTCATCACAACACGATGACTGTAAGCCTAATAATGTTCTTCCTCTCTCTCGTCCTCTTCCACCCTTTTTCTTCCTCTTTTATTCTCTCTCTTTGTCTCTGTACCGCTCCGCAGGGCCTGATTCTTCACCAGCTGCAACGCTACAGTCTGTCCGAGAAGGTCCTGAGGGATGCTGTGCAGGTCAACAGGTGTGTGTGTGTGTGTGTGTGTGTGTGTGTGTGTCAGTGCTATGTATGTGATTATTATATTTTAGGTCACTCACTACAATTTCCTCTCTTCTATTTTTTTTTCTCCTCACCTCCCTTTTCCTGTCCACTTTTCTTACCTTCTCTCCTATTTCCTCCTCTCTTTTTCCTTTGTCTCCTTTTCCCTTATCTCCTCTCCTTCTGTGCCATCACCTCCTCCCATTTCCTTCTCTCCTCTGATTTCCTCTTCTCTTTCCCTCTCCTGCCTTGTTTCCTCCTCTCCCTATCTCTTTTGATTTTTTTTCTCCCTCCCCTTTTCCTTTTCCCCATCATTTCCCTACTTTTTTCACTCATCCGCTCTTTATACACCTCTCCTCTCTCCTCTCTCCTATTTCCTTTTTTCCTCCTCCTCCTCTCTTCTTTCTTTCTCTCACTTCCTGCTTTCATCTTCTCCATTCTTTAATTTCTCTTCTCTCTCCTTTTTCCTTTTCCTGCATCCTCTTCCTGCTTCCCTTTTTTCTCTCATAACCTTAATTTTCCTCTCCTCTTTATCCACCTCTTCTCCAATCTCTCCTCTTCTCTTACTCTCTCTCCTCTCTCCCTCTCTTCTCCTCTCCTTTCTCCTCCCTGTCTCCTCTCCTCAGTACGGCTCACGATGTGTGGAACAGTCTCGGTGAGGTGTTGCAGGCTCAGGGAAATGCCGCCGCTGCCACCGAGTGTTTCCTCACCGCCTTGGAGCTGGAGGCCAGCAGCCCCATTCTGCCCTTCACCATCATACCCAGGGCATTATGAGACACACACACTCACAGTTACAGCCTGAGTGCTATAACACAGTGGCACAAATGATGGACCTGCAACCTGCACACACACCATACACACACAGCATGCCTGCATGCCACTTAGACACACCTGCACAAGGTTTTACTGCCATTCCCTTAGACACTCACACACACTGTAAATAAACAGTTCACATACATACACGCTTCCCCCTTCCCACAATGCCTTGCTGTGGCTGTGACCCCAGACTTTGTGTGTGTGTGAGGGCATACATCGCTTGTGTGTGTGTGTGTGTGTGTGTGTGTGCGTGTGTGTTGATCTGCACTTTTTGTGTGCCTGTTTGTGTCTGTGCATGTACACCCATGTCTGTGTATGTGTGCCAACATGTTGCCTGTGCATATTTGTGTCTGGCTGTATGTGATTTGTAGTATGCTCTGTGTGTTTGTTGTTTTTGTCCTGTTCAAAGATGTAAATAAAATTACATTAGAGTTCCTATTCTAGCATTACTAGCATTCAGAAGCCCAAGAGTTTACATTTTGTTTACATGTTATTTAGTCCAATAATGTTTCCTTTAAAAGCCAAATATTATGAAAATCCAACACACACACACACACGTTCACTTGCTGTTTATATGGAGAGGGTCATGGTTACTGTATGGCTGGCTCAGGACAGCCACATCTTTGGACAGACATGATCAACAGATCACCGAAGAATCAATCAATAAAGTCTAAATGCCAAAACACAGGTTGCATTTACACACACAGGAGATCAGATTTAAAACTGCTAATGTCTTCTTTAAATTAAAGCATATTTTTTTCTCAGCTGTACACACTTTACAGTCTCCTTTGTTTAACCATATTTTAATGACACTATGATTTTACATTTTTTGTAATATGTGCATCATTCAGTTTGCCCCACGGGAAGAGCTATAGCTACAGGAATAGTTTGACATTTTGGGGAAATATTTTTTGTTTGTTTGTTTGTTTTTCTGCTGTCTTGCTAAGAGTAAAGAGAGTAGTTTGATACCACTGTCATGTCTGTAAAGTAAAGCTACAGCCAGCAGCTGATTAGCTTAACTTAGTATAAAGGGCTGAAAAACTTAAGTGCCAAAAACTGCAGTTCTTCAAATGGCCACTTGAGGCTGGCTCCAACAGTGAGTCAATCCCCATAGACCCCCATGTTAAAATTCCCAACTTTACAGCAGAAATAAACAGGTTTACAGCCTGGTGCAAAAAAACAGTTTTGGTCTCGTAAGCTAATTTCAACATTCATGATAACCGTACATGGCGTGACTTTTTATAAAACTCACCCATTAACATGATATTAAGGCTTAAAGTTACGCATCTGTAAGGGTAGGCCTGCTAGAGTGACAGGCTGTCTGCAAGGCATCACTACACTCTATGATTCAGATCCACCCTCTCGTCCAAATATAGTCACTTGGCTCCACAAAGTGAAGATGGCAATGGCCAAAATGCCAAACTCGTGGCTTCAAACATGGCCATCCAAATATGGTCACACTTGAGGCTTCAAAATGGCGGCCCACAACCTAATGGGGGACACCACGGTAGATACATGCGATATTTTACACAGTTTATGATACAGACTGGAGAAAAGAATCAGCTAGCTTGGCTCTGTCAAAAAAAAAAAAAAAAAACATCTGCATAACGCACCTCTAAAATTCACATATTAACACGTGGGGTTTCTGTTCAGATAAAACAAAAGAAAGATAAGTGCTTAAAAAAAAACCTACAGGTTAAACAAAGGAGATATACCATGCTAATTAGTGAGCTGTATAGGTGCTGCAAGGCAGATTTTGTTACCCTTGGACATGGGCAGGCTAACTGTTTTCCCCTGTTACCAGTCTTAATGCTAAGCTAACTAGCTGCTAGCTCTAGCTTCATACATACCATGTTAACATTTACGGAGAGTGGTACCAGTCCTCTCATCTAGCTCTTGGCAAGAAATCAAATGAACATTTCTCTTAAAATGTCAAACTGTTGATGTAAAATAAATTCAATTTCACTATTGATAATTTTACATTTTTAATGCTTTTGATCTGTTTGAAAAAGCAGATTTTTTTAGCATCTGCATCTGTGGTCACAATAGCTGAATACATAAGAGTGCCAACTGCAAAAACAAGGAAATGTCACAAAAATAGCGAGCTAAGTGTTAACGTAAACCACTGGGAAACCAGAACCTCCTATGTAACGTTTATATTTTGACAAACTGTAAATATGAATGGGAGGTATCTGTTACACTCATAGTCTCAAATATCTGATTTCCTGTTATGTGTAAATGCAACCAGTGAGTGTGTTGTCTTTGTGTCCTGTCAGTCATGTTATATACAGTTAGGTGAATATGCTTTATTTTTCATTTGATTATAAATACAAAGGATTATTGTTGTATATTTGATTGTTCCGAGTGTATTATTATTGTTATTATTTTAGAAAGTAAATTATAATTCTATTTTCTGGAGTGAGGTGTTACTGAGATGCAGTTGGAGGAATAAAAGGATGAACTGATACAGTTTGTTGCTGTGAGCTCAGTCAGTGAATCCTTTGTGCTGTAAATGAATGACTGAAATTAGGAGGATGACTATGACAAAGATAATAAAAGTGGTTTAAAAAAAGGTTTGGAAGTTTTTGTCTGTTTGTTGTGTTTCATATACTGAACACTGAAACATTGATGCTCCTCGGGTTTCTTTTGCTCAGACAAGAAAAAATATTTACCTTATAGCTTAGTATTTTGGTTAGTACAAACCTGTGTGTGTGTGTGTGTGTGGTGCTCCCTCTTGCTGTGACCTCAGGGCCAGCGGTGTGTGTTACTTTCTCAGGTGTGTGTCTGTCAGTGGATAGGCGTGTCCTCCTTTGTGTGTTTTTTATCAGAGGATTACAGTGCTGACAGGCTTTGTCCTAGAGTGTCAGGAAGCTACAGTTGAGTCTCTCGCACACCTCAGCCCCCACTGCTGCTGGATGCTCAGGTATCATTTACAATTAGTCCCCCGTAAAGGTCATGACTTCAGTATATGGGGCTTATATTAGTCTGGATTATATGTTGATTGCACATTTTTGGTGCTTCTGATACCCATTTCAAAATGGACAGGAGCCAGTGCTAGATGACAACAGGCTTTCTTCCTACTTGAATTCCAAAAGTACTATTTTGAGGCACAAGTTTTCTTGAATGTTTTTGTTTTTGGAGGCTTTTTATCTTACAGATGATAAAAACATTTTTAATGTAAGTTTTCAGAAGTAGGAAAATTTCCTTTTTTTCAGAAAAGAACACTCAATCCTTAAGTTTTCTGAAAAAAAAAATAGCTGATATATGGTTTTCACATTAAAATTCTTTAATTTATCTATAAGCATGAAAATCCTCAATGTATGTGAACACTCTGGGGGGACTATACTGTACAATGTGTACATTTACTGTGAATAATTTAATATATTTACTGCTAGCACTTGTTTACTTTTACTTCTGAGAATAAAATTCTGAATATAACTTTACTTTTAATGGAGTATTCCTCTATTGTGATTTAGTGCTTTTATTTCAATAAAATAAAACATATTTCTTTGAAATTCATTGATACTCTACTCCATGATAATAAATGACTGGGCAATATTCATAAAGATAGTTGAATAAACCCAATATCAAAGCTGTTGAGGGTTTTGACATTGAAGCCTAATTGGCTGAATTCGCCTGAGATGGCGTCCTCATGGACACCCCTGATCACCACTGTTATGTTGGTGATTATGGTTAGAGTTTAATATTCAAAGTCACTGCAAAAAACATGACAGGGCACCCTTATGTTTTTGAAGTGTAACTGTGAAGGCTGATGTTTTGTATTTCAGCAGTTTAAAAGCTCATCTTTTTTTGCCTGCAGTTTCCAACACAGTGTTTTCCCCAAGACAACAGCCTCTGAAATGTAATGAACTGAAACAGTCAGATTTCCCATTGAAGAGATGATAGTAATATCTTGGACTGCACGTGCGTGCTGCTTATGTACATTTTCTGCAAATGCTGGAAATGTAGCAGATTTCCTACAGAGCCTGGTGATTTTCATCAATGGGCATTTTGTAAGAAAATAGAAGAAGAGGAAAGAGAGAGAAAATGACTATACTGAAAATCTGCCCCATATGGTGGCACAGGATGTCGAACCCTAACACACACACACACACTTGCTCCCCACTCCATTCTTCTAGCTGTCAGGTGGAAAAACTGAAATATTTATGTGCGTGCAAGCTGGAGCCTGGAGTTGAGGATTATATGTGTGTGTGTGTGATGAATTTGAGGCAAATGTGAGAGAGAATCTTCTGGACTGGGGACCCTGTTAATAACATTGGAGTGGCAGCTCACTAATAGCAAGCAGTGAGCAGCAAGATATATTAATACACTTCAGACAGTTACATAACTGCAGCTACTAACTGTGTGTGTGTGTGTGTGTGTGTGTGTGTATGTGTGTGTATGTGTGTGAGTGATACATGGCTAAATCTAACACCTCCTTCACTTCTCCATCTCTCCACTTTTCCTCTCTTCCATCTCTAAGTCAGCACCAGTGCAAGTACCAGTAGTACAAACGTGTGTGTGCATGAGGTTACACTGCCTCCTGACACACAGCGCTCCCCAGTAAATAAGCAGCCTATAGCCTTCAGTGTCTTTATGACTGTAAAACGTCTGCTGGCTTCATCTGTTAAAGACAGCCAGAATATCAGCTTCTGAATCAGACAAAAGAGGGAGGTATTTTAGGAGGAGAGATTTTATGGGTTTTAAGATGCACTGAGACTCTGTTTTCATCTTCTTTTTTCATCCCTCGCTCTCTTCCTCTCCCTCAAGTCCTGGGTTTCTATTATTGTCTTTCAACCTCATCTCGCTCCCCACCCCCCTCCCCATCGTCTCCTCTCTTGCTCTCTCCTCAGACTCCCACGGTTTTCTGCTCCCTCTCTTTCACTTCCACCCACCCCATGCCTGGCTCTGTTGCCTAGCAACGTCTCCTCATCTGCAGACAGAAGTTCTCGATGATCTGGAGAAGTCCTTGTGACACCCCTCCAAACACACTAATTGTACCATCAGATTAGCGAGGACATGGTGGTGTCCATATCAGTCTCTAGTGTGGGGCACTTTTGATAGTCCCATTTAAAAAAATGCAACTTTTCCCTCATATGAAGTGTGATATTGATGGATTGTACTTGTTTACCTTGTTCCTTGGAGAGTGCTTTTTATTTGTTGTATCATCAAGGCAAGATAATCAGAGTAACCATGGTGATATGTTTAAATAGATGGAAAGGGTTTGTTCGGTATTTCAATTCCTGACCCTTAACATGACCCGTTCTGTGCAGACACTGAGCTGCTACGCTAATACTCACGTTGTATGGAAGACTGAGACCAGTTACAACTTTTTGTAATACTTTTGTTTATGTCTAGTGTTTGTTGAAAACCAGACCAACTGTCTGATCCTGTAATAACTACTCATTTAGGAGATTTAGGAAAGTAAAAGCAAACCAATATGTTTTCAGTGGCTTCAGTGTCTGTGCTTACACTTACACTCTCAAAAGGACGATGCATGCAATAAGTAGCACAGATGAGTCATTTAAAAGCAGCACTTCCCCCACAGAATCTGCCTTCACACAGAGAAAACACAAGTCAGCTTATTTTTAAGAAAAAAACACATCAAAACCCGATACGAGATGTTAGTTCATGGTATTTTATTTGAAAAAAACAAAATGTAAAGACTAGCATGTACAACTTGGAATGCAGATCAACTGAACAAAACAGTTGGACTGGGCCGGGCCTCGCCGCACCCACACACCCACACACACCCACACACACGCACACACATTTACACACGCAAACTCACACACAAACACAAGATAGAAATGCCGCAAAGCACCGACCCTGTCCTCACTAACTGAAATTAACACCCCAGTAGAATCCTGATACACACGCAACCCTTGAGGCAATACACTGTACCTAAGCATGCTTCAGTGATAACCACAGATTCAGTGTTTGTAAATCTCCAACTCTGCAAAACCTGATACTCATGGTACAGATATTGCCTCAAACATTGCTCTTGTATGTATATCTTCACCTTTAAAGCCCACCCAACCCCTCCAAAGAGTCTGGGACACATCCAACACCCAAGGAGCTCAAATCTATGTCCCACCCAGACTTTTGCCTCAAAAAAGGTAAACACACAAAGGATAAAGCAAGTATCCTGACATGCCAGAAACACAGAATCTAAAATGAGTTCTTATTTATTCCATTTTAATATTTTTCTTAAAAATATCTCTGTTGTCACTGACTTCATTTAGGTAAGCAAACTGCAAAGGTTCAGCTGGTTCACTCACTCCCATCCATCTGTCAACTAACCCCTCCCTCCTCTCTGTGGGTCCCAGGCCAACCTGAGGCCCAACAACAGCCCTCTGCCACTGGGCTCTCAACAGTCACCCATCTAAAGCTGCATGCATGAAGAACAGAAAAAAGAAAACAGGAAGTCATAGAAGAAAGGCGATTGGCCAGCCCATATAATCATCATGACATCAGGCAGATGGAACCAGGAAGCAGAGGAGCAGTGGCCAAACCAGCCAGCTGCAGAGAGGCTGCTTGGCTAACGAGTTGAGATCTGATTGGGCAGCTCAGCGCTGGGGGGCGGGAATACAAGCCAGTACATGCAGATTCATTTAGGATTTTTCTTTTTGTCTTTTACCTTTTTTGAGCTTGTTTATATGGACAGATTTTCAGTTTTCCAACATTCAGTTTAAGTTGTCTATACAGAACAGTATGAATAAATGTAGATTTTTGCAATAAGAGGTAAGTGAAACATTTGACTGATTCTTTGTCTTTAATGTGAGCCCAGTTCATTTGGCGGTCATCATCTGAACAAATTCTGTGGAGGGGAAAAGAAACCATCATCAGGAACAGTGTTTCAATTGTGTACTATAACATGGTGAACAAAATCATGACTGCTCACCCTATAAGAAACTGGCCATTGCACACTCAAAATGACTACAGAGCGTCTGTCTATCATCAGCTTACATAATTTAGCCCTGCTCCATAAACATAATTAATCCGAACACTAATGACAGATGAAAGGACGTGTATTGCTGTGTGTTCCTTTATACATGCAAACTACATTAGTGTGGCTAAGTTTCAAGACAGACTTTCTACTCCTGTACCTTCGTAGTTGACCTGTCCATCTCCATCGATGTCTGCTTCTCTGATCATCTCATCTACTTCCTCATCTGTCAGCTTCTCACCCAGGTTAGTCATCACATGACGCAGCTCTGCTGCGCTGATGTAACCGTTGCCATCCTGCCCAACATACATACAGTATTAGTCAGTAACACACAGTTTTTAATGGAGAAAGTCTCAAGTGTCATTGTCAGACCAGACAGAGGTAAGAAGTCCCTCCTTAGTTGTCAGCTTAATGTTTGGGACACTGATTTCAGATGAATATGTTTTGTGTATTACCGCTAAACTGCTAATTGGAACATACAATTCATCTAAGAAGCAATTATTTTTCTTTCCTTATCTTTACAACACAAAACACACACTAGTCTTACCTTGTCAAAGACCCTGAATGCCTCCCTGATCTCCTCCTCACTGTCAGTGTCCTTCATCTTCCTTGCCATCATTGTCA